TTAGCTTGATACAGCCACGGTCACCCCAATAAAATTGGATATGATAATATAGAGCTTCACAATTGAAAAACAATATAATCAATTTTGTAGGTAATCCCCAAAATTACTATATCAATACTTTATAAAATATCCATAGGTTTAACTCGACTGGAGTCAGTCATTCTCAAAACTACTGTAATAGATAATAAGTGATCCAAATCCAACTCCTCCATTGTAGCGGCTTTTATAAGATTTACACTAGATCCTCCATCTATTTGCACTCTCGATAATAATACTCCATCAATTGAGACATCAATCATTAGTCTACTTGGATCAGGATTCAAACTTACTTCTCGGATTTTTTTATTTCGAGATTTGTGGCAAATTAGTGAGGAATTCAAGATAGTTTGGCACTCAGGTGCTACCGCCAATAGTTGCTTCATAGAGATCGTGGGCTGTATGATGCCTAAATCTTTTAGAATATCATATGGTTTTGTATTAGTGGTAATTCTCAATGTCCGTTCCTTCTTCCCAGTCCTAGACACCGACGCAAGTAAATTGATTTTTTTTATATTGGAAATTGGAAAAGCTACTGGAACTGAATTTGATGGAGCCTGTAAAATCGGTTCTTTCAAAGGGTAATATTGTTCTTCCATTTGGACTGATATTGATTCCTTGGAATTCACGCCTTTTAGAGGATCTTTCAATGGATAGAACGTTTCTCAAAACTATGTAGAGAACGGAACAGCTCGACATGGTAATTGGTACCTCATTGGAATGCACAACCAATTCAAGTCTTATACTGAGTAAAAGGCCCATGTCAAGACTTGGATTAGATGGCCCCATAATTGGGTCCAATTGGTCCTTCACTTTAAGATCACCCAAATGTTGAATTGGTCCTTTTCTCTTTTGTTGACTTCTTGTATGGACAGCTTAGACTACTTCTACCCGATGAACTAGTGATTCCAGTATCTCATTATTTTTTTTTCTCTATAATTTGCATAGTCGATTGTATCTTTTGATCATGATTATTAGGATTAAATGGAACATTGCATTGATAATGAAAATGACCCGATTGCTTCTAATTTCTATATACTAGAGCATATTTATCTATAAATCTTCAATTAGGACATTCACTGGCATAATGACCAATTTATCGGCACCGGTAGCAACGTAGTGGTTTTCGACCCATACCATCAGGTATACTTGGAGTCTCCACTGGAATATATCTACTAGGCCGATTCCACGTAGCCATAGTAAATGATCCTAGTTGACAAATTACTACTGGTCGAGAATTGGACTGCTGAATTGATATAGTTTGAAGATTACTCCCTTGATTATTTCCATCGTTTCACATCTTTGTTCCATAAAGCAGATTATAATTAGTATTTTGAAAATTTCCAAAGCCATGATTAGGTTGATTTGAGTGATTACTATTTCAACTACGTATATTTTCAGTCTGTACTTGATTAACATCCCATTGAGTTGGTTGTATCGTCTGGTTATTGAACAGTTGTTGCCTTTGTAAATGCCAGTAGTTTTGGGTAGGGTGCTTTCTTCCACAAAATGTACATTGAATACCCGTTTGTTTGGATGATGGACATTCCATATCAAAATGACCTTATCCGTTATAATTATTACACCATACATTATGTCTCATATTAGAAGGCTTATAGATGCACCAATTGCTCTTCTTATAGATTAGTTGAAATGACAATTTAGACTTATAGATGCACCAACTGCTTTTCAACATCTTATGAATGATATTTTTTTGTAAATTTCTTGATGATTTTGTCATCTGATATTTAAACGATATTTTAATTTACTTCTAGAATATAGAAGACTATAAATTTTATATTTGTCATGTATTACAAAAACTTAGAAATGTAGAATTATTTGCCAAGATAGAAAAGTATGTTTCTACACTACTCAAGTTGATTTCTTAGTACACATCATTTCTAACAAAGGCTTCATGATGGATTTCAAGAAGGTTCAAACTATAAAAGATGTCAAGAATAGTAAAAAATGTATAATGTTTTTTAAGCTTTGTCAATTATTATTAAATTATTATCAAGATTTTTTTTATAAATTGGAGTTCTATTTATATATTTAACTTATAAAAAATAACTTGAGTGGAATAAAAGAATTAAAGCATCATTTGATGCTTTAAAGAAGAAATTTATTTTTGCACCAACCTTGTATTGTATCAACTTTTTTGAGGCATTTTTTATGAAAATAGATGTATCAAACTTTATCATGAGTGCAATATTATCACAAATGGAAATAGATGATAAACTTCACCAAGTTGCTTTTAATTCTAGAAAATTTTCAATAATACAAATCAATTATGAAATCCATAATATTTTTTTTTATATTTATAGATTTTTTTTTAGAAATGGCATCACTATCTAGAAGGCATTTTTAGTATAGTCATTGGATATACAAATCAAAAGAACCTTAAGTACTTCATATCAATATACATGTTGAATTTTTGCTAGGCTTATTGAAGCATGTCATTATCAAGATTTGATTTTAAGATCACAAATTTATTTGAAAAACTACAAAGTTTGTCATATAAATTTTTTAGATGTTTTCATCTTGCACCAAAAGAAAGACATTCAACTTTTGATCAACAAAAAATAATTATAACGAAATAACTAAGCTTTTTTTTTGATAATATCTATTGCTATTATAAATTAGCAAAAAATATTATATTGGATAGAGTGACATAATTTATATTAAGATTTTAAAAAATCTTTTTAAAATATTGAAAGTGGATGTAAAATTATCTTTAACTTTTCATATATAAATTAATAGATAAAAAAATAGATGAATTAAGTTTTGGAGCAATATTTAAGGTGTATTATAAACTATTATTAAGATGATTGAATAATTCTTTTGCTATTGACAAAGTTTGCATATAATAATTCAGTATATTCTTCTACTCAAAAAACACTTTTCTTTGCCAATTACAGTTATTATTCATAATTAGATATCTTTGACTTTTCAAAAGATGATAATCCTAAAATAAAAGATTTAACAAATTATTTGTCAAAGCTACATGAAATAATAAAGGAATAATTAAAAGAAGCTCAAGATCAAAAAAAAAAATTCAAGGTAGATGCCTATTGTAAGGAAAAACTACAATTCAACATAGGTGATAATGTATGGTTAGTTTGTCACAATATCAAGACTATTTGTCTATATGATAAGTTAGAATATTGTCGGCTTTGATCTTTTCTTATTTATAAATAAATCAATCTAGTTGCTTATCAATTATAGCTATCAGAGTCAATAAAGATCTATCTTATATTTCACATGTCACTTCTTGAGTCATACAAGATAATAAATATTGCAAAAAAAAGACAAATGCCATCATCTCCCACAAATGTGAATAATTATCAAGAATTTAAGGTAGAAAAAATCTTAGATTGAAGGCAATGCCAAAATAGGTTAAAATATCTTATTTATTGGCTCGGATATGATAATAGTGAATGCACATGGAAGCTAATAAAGAATCTTATAAATGCAATTAAGAAGGTTAAAACTTTTTATCTATAAGATCCATCAAAACTAAGATGAACAGTCAAGCAATTCTTTGTAATAAAAGAAAAGATTCTAAATAAAGATTGTATCTTATTTTCTATCGTTTGCTATGAATTTTTTGTATTTTAGCAATGCCAATGAGATTGAGAATCCAAAACCAATAAATTCAACTCATGAACCATCATTTATTGACTTACTAAGTGAGACATTGTGATTGTTTCAACCTTCAAGATAATGTAATCAAGATGAAGATCTTCAAAAACGACATGTTCTTTTTCGAATAGATGGTAAGATACAATGCATATGGTGTCACGACCTTGGAAGAGATTCTTAATGCTTGGTGATTTTATTGGATGTAAGAAAAAATTCATGATGGTATGACTAATATTTTATTTGAAAGAAGTTGTGAAGACCTCAACAATGATCAAATAACATGGTAGTCTTTTTGTCTTAGAAAAGGACATTATTGATGGTTGAGAAGACCTAACAATTACCTTTAAAGGGAACATCGATCAAAGTATGTAATAAATATAATTTGTCACATCTTAAACTTCATTAATATATGATCATTGCTCTTCGTAGAACTTGTTTCCAAAAGGAGACATAAGGCGACAAATATATTTATTCTAATAATTATCTAGGTAATATGAATAAATAGAAGTAGATTAAAATAAATTAAGTTGATAATACCTTATAGAGAAGATTTTTAAAAGCTTTATAGATGCATTTTCACCTTTATACACATCTATAAGTCATTTATAGGTTAGAAACTTGGCCAATAAATTAGCCTTATATTACATGTGTTAGTAGCTTGTAGAATAAGCTAACTACAAGGCATACATATATGAAACTTGTCTTATAAATTAGACATGTCTTACAAATTTGACATTTGTTGGAGGTTCTATAGAATGTCGCTACATAGCTCTTAAATAGATAGTATATATAGAGGCAATAGTGAAGCCTTTTTCACTCTTTTCAATTCATTTTATACTTCCAATGTATTTTCAAACATTTCTAACTTCCTTATCTTCTACAATAGCTATTTTAGTTTTTTATTAAATATGTTTAGTTTCTTATTTCTATTTTGTCATCTTTCTTTGATTCATTTCTCACTTATTTACATATCTTCTTTGAGTTCTTATGCTTGATATCATGGCTCCTTCACAATAAACCTTATAGCTTTGCTACCAATAACCAAGGTTGAGGCTATGATTTATAATATAGTAGCCTTGTTTGTTGAACTTATTGATAATATTGCATCTATTATTTTCTAATGCAATCACAACATTGATTCTAACAACAAAGACATTTTAAAAGTACTACCTCATGATTTGTAATATCCAATCTATCAAACTAATTTTGAAGTTGTAGAAACTAGCTATTATAATGAATCCATTCAATATAAAATTTTATTCCTAAACTAGAGCTTTTGTCAACATCTTTGAAAATAATCTCCTCAAAATAAGTGTACATTATGGTTTAATGATCATTTTCAATTTCCTCCATAGTTTGAACATCCCACCCAACCAATTTCAACTACAACTTATTCCAATGAATGATAATGCACAACAAAAAATATCTTGCACTTTAAACAATTTGACGAAGTCTATCAAATTTGACTAGAATGGATGTTTTTGGACAACTCTAGATGAATTTCATCCATTTCTAATTTATCCAAACTAAAATAAGCTAAATTAGGTATTTAGGAGGAAGCCCTGTGTAGACCGATGTGCTCGAAGAAAAATTCCAATTCAACGTGATGACTTGCTGACGTAATTTGAAAACGTTACCTGCCGTCACATCTTCAGTTGGGTCGGTGAGGAGAAAAGTGGACACGATCTGGAGGAAGACGTACCTGGATGAGAAAAACAAGAAGGGAAAAATTCCTACATTCTAAAGCTTCTGCTGTTTCATCAAAGCCCAAGTGTCCTTTGAAGCCTTGCAATGCACGGACCCGCTAACAATATGTTGCTTGATGAATCTACTCTACTCTGGTAAGATTTGCATTAACAGTAATCAATGCGCTATCCAATGGATTCTGTCTGAGGGTGGAGAGAGGTTGACAGGCTGAATAAGGTCGAATCTAAGAGTCAGCTAGACTTGATGGATATAGGTTAAGAATCCAGTTTTGAATTTGTCAGTCTTGTACAATTTGGCTGATTAATGACCACTACGGTCCGTGCTACTTTCACAAGCTCCTCTTTGATCATGAAAAGAACGGCTGCTGCCACCACACTTTGTACAATCTTGGTGCTCATGCCCTTGTAGAAGCCCGCCAGGCCCTCAAAGCGAACCATTTTTGTGATTGCATCCAATGTCCCTGAATTAAAAGAAACAAACGAAAACGTCTTCAGAAAGCTGGGATTGCGGATAAGAAGTGCTTGTCACATTATATTTGCTTTTAGTTACTTCTGAGGTGAAAGATTGAAGGAAAAAAATAGATGTTGTAACGAGTTCATGCTGAACCTAGTACAGCAAAAGTCCCCAAGTGACCTGTTCTTTCCTGAGATACATTAGCAACAAATGCAAGAGTACCACACCTGCGTACTGTAGAGAAGCATGGCCTCCACCATCCTGCTTTGCTTGGAGTCGTGACTGCCATAATACACGAGGCGTCAGGATAAGGAGGGAAAGTGTGATTGTGTTGTACGGTCAAGCAGCTCAACTGGCGCGGATGAGATTCAAAAGAATAATCATCTATTTCAGCGACTTCAAAAACCTCATTTGACAACCGAAGAAGATTCAAGAGTTAAAAGAGATCATGCAATCGTGACGAAATGGATCACTCTCAACAGGTATCCACTAAATCTAGGGTGTTAGATTGACACGCACCTTCACAACCGATAGAGGATATGTCACTACAGTTGCCCCAAGCTTCGCAACCGCTCCAAGTAAGAAGACCTAACACACATTGTGGTCATTATTAGTCAGCTGAATGTAGGATCAAGCCGCTTTAAGCATCAGCATCTATTCAGGAGACCATGAACAGGCATCTATAAAATAGAAGGAAGTGCACACCTCAGTTGCAGCTAAAGGTTTCAAACCATTTTCATTTCTAGACCGCTTTTCTGTAAGTTTCTTCAGTAAAGTCTCATAGATCATGAATTGTATTGACGGGTTACTGACCTGTTGCAGACAAAATTCAAAGAACTCAAAATCATCTGACAAATTTAATCTGATACAATGAGAGCCCACTTTACATTTAAGTTTATAAATACATTATCAAAGAATCAAACATAATACAGCGAATAGAAATACACTCTAAGGTACAGCATTACAGCCGCTGCCCTAAAGTATATTAGTATGCCTAAGTCAGAAAACCACGCTTAACCTGCAGTCTCATTCTGTATTTTACAACATCATACATCTGTGTTTTCTAGCAAATAACGGAGGAGCTTACCATGATGAGAGTGGGCAAAACACCTTTCCAAAATCCAAGCAACCCAGCCTCCTTGTACAAATCCTTGACCTGCAGAGATATGCATGTAAATAGAAGCAGAAAACAACCCATTCCACCGTCATCACAATAAAACAGGACATTGTACCCTACTATAGGAATGAAGACATCATGGCAGGACGAAGCATGGACATGGCAACATCATATTTTACAAACAAAGAGGAACACGAAACGTTAGTCACTCGAATCGCTTCTTTTGAAAGGGCCTGCCTTACATCTTCGAATTCCTATATATTGCAACAAGGCATGTCAATGACGAGGTACCCAACTCACATGGAGTGTCAGTGTCAGAGTTAAAGATGCATACTGTATCGCGAGCTCCAAGCTGTGATTTGGTAGGAGATCCACTGAAATTAGGATTTGTAACAGCAGAACTTGGTAGTCCACCATCAACTTGTACTGTGAGATCGTTTTCTGTTGAAGATGTCGGACCTTTCTTTCGTTTCTGAGTCTGAAACAAGCAAAGTGAAATAATATTCATAACAGTGACGAAAATCAGTTCAAGTGGCCATCAAATGACACAACCATTTCACAAAATTAGATGAGCAAGTGAAAAGAACTCCTATCAACTGGAAATTAACTGAAATCAGCCAAGCAAGAGAGTTGGAGTAAAGTTAAGAAAAGGAATGATCAACACTGACCTGCATACGAGTGACAATAACCCATATAGGATTTGTAATCAAAACATTTGCACACCTACACACAGAAAGCAATACACACAAAATGCATGAGTACCAAAACACTGCGTTTATTGTGAACTTGTGAGGACTAGTCTGAACGCAAATAACATACACAGACCATATGCAAACTTACATTTTTCGTGATAAATAAATAAATTAGGAACGAATGCTTCTGTGTAAAAGAGAAATCGTGTGAATTTCTTCGCAGAAACCTCATGACTTATGAAGACGGCATACTTTTTTTCTTAGCAGATGAGCCTATCAAAAGGTTAAACGGCGAAAACAGGTCCACACTTGAACAGAAAGAGGAAATTCTGACCCGGCCAGAGCTGCAACAAAGAGGGATGCCAGCACTCCCACTGAACCATCTTCACCGTTCGGCTTTTTGGACCTCCTAGCCTGGGCTTCTGCCTCACTTCTAAAGATCTGATAAAAATAGTAGTAGACACCCTGCAGATCATGAAACGAAAATCTTATACCTCCAAAACCCTTGCGGAGATTATACAGCATGTACAAGTCGGGATTCCGACCCCAATGTTCACGACGTAACACACACAGCAGGAAAGTGCAATTCAGTTTGAGACACAGATGATCTCCTATTTCTCTAGAGAAAGTCAAACCTTAGATCATACCAACAAGCCAAAAGAGCATAAAAAAAAACACTGTTCAACCTCAAAGTAACATGCTCATTAAAAGATTCGGACATACCTGCGAGCAAGCAGTACCAACTAACGATGGCAAGAGCCCTCTGTATAATCCTCCCCATCCATCATTCTTGATCACCTGCAAAGATAAATCCCATTAGATACCTCGGTCATCAACTCATCCTTGGGACTGATGCATGCAGTCGCTTCTCTACTTTCGTTCTCCCAACATTCTCGAATGTCTTCTCCATTGGAATGCATAATCTTCATCCCACCTCAGCTTCAGATTCATTATGCAGTTTGAGCTAACCCACCGACGCTACTAGTGAACCAAGTGAGACTTAAACTTCTATATCATCAAATACTCAACCATCATGCAAGCAGAACGTTACCTCCCAAATTTCTTGAAGGGTTCCCTTCTGCAACTTTGTAGGGTAAGCTTTGGCAAAAGCCAACGCGCCTTCCTCATCTTCAGCAACCTTGCCACGTTTTGCTGTCCTTTCCGTTTGTTGCCTAGTATTAACCTGCATGGAAACACGGCATTACAAGAGTGCAAGTAGAAACGTCCACAGAAGCCCTACTGCCTTCAGACTATATCCATGCCTCAAGGAAACATGGTCTAATCACGATAACTACTTCTAATGTTCCATTCCTTTTATCGCGATTACTGATTGACATCTCTGCTTTCGAGGGTTCCAGAAATGCACTATATTAGTGAACTTATTTCTGAACATGTACAATAAGGTGTTTTATTCCTTATAAAACGCCAACTGGAACACATTCGGGTGCGCAATAACTTGTCGCATTTGATTTAGAGTCTGCCTCCGGTCGCTATGCTGTTTTTGGCCCTCATTTAACAGCGCCTGGCTGTAAGACATCATCACACACATTTCTACTTCCATTGTGTTCTAGATTTGACATGTTACGTAAACATTCACAGTAATGGACAGAGGAAGAACTGGTCACACACTGAGAGGAGGCCAAATTGACAAGTCTGTATCTACTTCAGCGACTCCTGGACATTATCCTTGACAAGTCCTTGACATCGCAAAGCCATAATTAATATCAATGTTCAGTTTCTGACTATGCATTCATTAAAAATAACATTTAATCGAATTCTTAATCACGTAAAAAATCTGCTTGTCAGAGTATCTCCAACAAATTAGAATCATTGCATATGAATTCTAGAGGACGATAAATTGGGAAGTTTTCTCTGACGAGCGCCAACAACAAAGCCGGTTGATGACTGATAACCCACATGCAGAACTGCAGAAATTGCAGCGTGAAGGTAATTATCAAAATGCGAGTCCTCTATTATTCAACTTCTCACATTGGATGTGGCTGGACATCGAGTCAAATGTACACGGAACACTTAAAAGTACAGACCTCCAAGCTGACAGAAATATGAATGTGTTGAACAAGGTGAAATGGAGGCTCACTGCTTGCAAAGGATATGTCAACAATACAGCTACTATGCCGCCCCCAGCACCTGCTAGTCCATTTACCACCGCATCTGACATGTTTCCGCTTAAATTTCAACAGATCTTCAAGACCTCTTAAGTATTTGAATTGATAGCCTTTCACTTTGAGAAATGAAAAGAATTAAAATTCTTAATTCTTTTCACCTGCCAAAAACGAGAAATGGTCAAGTCTAGCGATCGAGAAAAACAAATAAACATTCAAACAAACAAACAGAAAAATAAACGAAAAATGCAAGACGAAAGAGCCATTCACAAAACAACACCATACTAGTGTCACTTGTAGACCCGCAGGCTGGCTTGCAGCGAAGATGGAGAAAGCAACCAAAATCATAAACAGTATGTTTAAACATAGACAGGTATGTCTTCGAAGGGATCTGATTAAATACTAATAATAAAGACCTGAAGGATCTAAACCTGAAAACGTGCATAATCAAAAACATATTCAACCATCTGCAACCATTTTCGACTAGCACCACCGCAAATTGAATCGAAAAATCAGCGTTTGTAAAAATGCAACAATACTAAAACTCTATTCCTGTACCTAGGTAAAGCCCTGGATACAGAGAGAGACGAAAGTACACCCCAAACTGCACACAAGAATGCAAGCAACGGCCTCTCGATCGCGTAAAAATAAAATGCGGATGGATTCCCCGCACAGTGGTTTACCTGAAAATTTCTCAGACTCACTGAAGACAAGCCATGCCAGTGAAACCAAAACGAGAACCTCAAGACGGTCACAATCACCAACTCAAGACGCAATCATGGACAAAATGCAATAACATCCACGTACCTCCAACATCCAATGTCCTCAGAAACTCGAAAATATTAGCAAGCAGATCAAGTTTTCCTCATCAAAAAACAAACGCTGCAATCTGTATAATCAATCAGCCCTCACACGCAACAGTGCCTCGTCACAGAGGCATAGCTACCACGGCACGAAACTCGGTCGATGGAGAAGGTAGGATAGAATCCGCAATACTTCACCAAATTGCGCGCGGCTTGTCCAGTTAGAAGAAGAATTGGATCAGGAAGCGCGGGTGCATGCGTGTACAGCGATCGGAGACGTGATCAAGGTGCGGCGGGCACGGGGGGAGGGATCGAGGATGAGCGAGGGGCATTCGGTGGAAGTGCAGATGGCGCAACACGCACACCGATGCTCCAGTCCCTCTCTTGCCCTCGTCGCCTTTTACTTTTACAATTTTCCCGCCACGTCGTTTTTACCCAAAAAAGTAGCTTTCTATGCCGTGAAAGAGGTGATAGCGACATGGACCTAACCACACCCATGCTATAGGAATGGCCCTTTCCTTTCGCAACGTGATACTTTTTGACAAGTTTTGACTACCGTCAAAATTCACTTTTGTAAATAATTCTAATCACCTGTATTTTATGAGGATTTTCTATATTTATCTTGTTGTTAAGAGATATTCAATTTTAAAATAATAACTTAGTACATAATTCCAATGTTGTTGCACAATAAAAGAATAATTTTATTCTTATGTTTTTTTAAATATTTTCAATCCACGTGTGTCCTGCCCAGGTGTGCCCGATCAGGGGGTTATGAGACCTCGTATACCCGAGCTAGCCATACCCGGGAGTGTTTGGCTCGACCAGGATGAGGTTGCCTTAGCCGGTCCGGTTATTGCACACCACTGTCCTCTTAGCATACACGTTAGATTGTGGATCGACGTATACCCAAAATAGCCGCAGGATTAATCTTCCAATGGGAGGATGACAGCGGGACGGATTAACACTAACACCGGGCACTATTGAGCCACGGCAGTGTCGCATCCTCGGGCTCCGAATGGCGTGTCGCAATCAAACCCGAAGCCCGTGGCCACGAGGCCCTTATCTGGTTCACTTTGAATGTATCGCGGAGGGTGGGGTGTATGAAGGGTTCTTCGTCTTCCTCAATCCAATTGCTGACTTGAACCCTTCTGAGGTTCATCGTCACGGCACGGCACGTTTCCGGTGCTTTTTTCTCTTTTGGAAGGGGGTTCCAGGGGCTTCCGCACCGACCTCCTGTGGTTTCTCCTTGCACCGGGGCTGCTGCTGCCTTTTTCGAAACTATTTGCGGTGATGTGTGGGTTTGGATTGGGAAGTAGGGTTGTAGAATTCTGAGGTTTGGGTTTAAGTAGGGGTTCGGGATTGAGCATTAAGGAGGAGTTTGAGCATTCAGGATCAGAAAAATGGCGTCGATGGCGCATTCTCTGACGCTCCCGTCTGTGGGTTCTTCACTCGTTGGCCAGCTGAATGACAGTGCGAAGAGTAAGCGACGGACCATTGCGCAGGCGGCGTCTACCGGAAGAAAGAATTTGAAGAAGTCTGCGAGTTTGTCCGTGTCCGGTTTCCAATCCTTTTCCGGAATGCGCAAGGCTTCCGCCGTTGATGCTTTGACTGTCAAGCAAGGAAAGGATTTGAAGTCTGTAGTGGCGAAATCTATGGCTGTGGCCGGCCATTCCCGGCCCTCTAGGGGCGTAACGTTTGCTATGTTTGAGCGTTTCACCGAGAAGGCCATCAAAGTTATTATGCTGGCTCAGGAGGAAGCTAGGCGGCTTGGGCACAATTTTGTTGGTACCGAGCAAATTCTTTTGGGGCTCATTGGGGAGGGTACCGGTATTGCTGCGAAGGTTTTGAAATCGATGGGAGTGAACCTCAAGGAAGCTCGTGTGGAAGTCGAGAAGATCATTGGTCGGGGAAGTGGTTTCGTTGCCGTTGAGATCCCCTTTACGCCCAGGGCCAAGAGGGTTCTTGAGCTGTCGCTGGAAGAAGCCAGGCAGCTTGGTAAGTGTTTCAAGTATTTGTAACCTACCAATCGTTGTCGAACTGAAGAATTTTTGGAATTTTGAATGATTATCGATTGATTAATTGGTCTAAGTTTATCATTGATTATTGTATATAGGTCACAACTACATCGGCACAGAACATTTGCTTCTGGGATTGCTGCGAGAGGGAGAGGGTGTGGCTGCCCGAGTTCTCGAGAACCTAGGAGCTGACCCTAGCAATATTCGCACACAGGTATGTAATGTGACATCTACGGTGAAGTTAATTCTTTCAGGAAATCGAATAATGAGAAGATTCTGAACTTGTAACGTTCGTTTACCCGTTAATTAAGACTGTTTGGGACCTCGGCAGGTCATTCGCATGGTCGGTGAGAACAATGAGGCTGTTGGCGTAGGAGGTGGCAGCGGCAGCGGTAGTAATAAGATGCCCACCTTGGAAGAATACGGGACAAATTTGACTAAACTTGCTGAGGAGGTACGTGCTTGCATGTGAATCTCCCTTTTTTTTGAACAAGTGCAATAGCAAAGTCAAATTCTGGGAGTTCATAATTTATTTTATTTTATTTTATTTTATTTTATTAACTGTTAGGTATCTCAATCATTGTGCAGAACAACTTAGCCAACCGGTCTTTGTTAGCCGACGCTCGGGGCCTTTTGCACTCAATTTGACACATGTCGTCTCTTGTTTGAAATCCGCCTGAAACTGAGTTGAAATTGAGTTCTATGGTGCAGGGAAAGCTTGATCCAGTTGTTGGAAGAGTTGCTCAGATTGAGCGAGTGACCCAGATTTTGGGCCGTAGAACCAAGAACAATCCATGTCTGATTGGAGAGCCTGGTGTGGGGAAAACGGCCGTCGCCGAGGGCCTGGCTCAGAGGATTGCATCTGGAGATGTACCCGAGACTATTGAAGGCAAGAAGGTTATCACTCTTGATATGGGTTTATTGGTTGCTGGAACCAAGTACAGAGGAGAGTTTGAGGAGAGGTTGAAGAAGTTGATGGAAGAGATTAAACAAGCAGACGACATTATCCTCGTTATTGATGAGGTGCACACGCTCATTGGTGCTGGTGCTGCTGAGGGTGCGATTGACGCTGCTAACATACTGAAACCCGCTTTAGCCCGAGGTGAATTACAGGTATTGCTCGATTACTATAATTGCCTAATTAATGTAAATATGCATTTAGATGAGGATTGATTCATTTGACGCTGGTTTTATTATTTAAAATTTAAATTAAGTAATGAAAACCTGCACTATGTTTCCTCGGGTCTGCCTGACTTGTGTCTGTTTACAGTGTATTGGGGCAACCACTCTGGATGAGTACAGAAAGCATATTGAAAAGGATCCTGCATTGGAGCGACGTTTCCAGCCCGTTCTGGTGCCAGAACCTACCGTTGAAGAGACCATCGAGATCCTTAAGGGTTTGAGGGAGAGATATGAAATTCACCACAAGCTGCGATACACAGATGAGGCCTTGATTGCAGCAGCACAGCTGTCTTACCAATACATCAGGTGTGCTTTAATGCTCGATCTGACGTACTTGATTGGAGCATCTAGGATTCTCATCTTAGATTTTGGTTATCGTGTGGGGTATTAGTGTTACAGCTTTATGCGTCTCGGTGGGACTTGCGTGGTGCATTTTGATGCATGAGTTGGAATTTTAGCAGCCCTGAGAATTCTCTAAAATTCTCATGCATTTCTGTTCTGTGTGCAGTGACCGATTCTTGCCTGACAAGGCAATTGATCTTATTGATGAAGCGGGTTCGAAAGTGAGGCTCAAACACGCTCAGCTGCCTGAAGAGGCAAGGGAGCTCGACAAGCAGCTGCGTGCTGTTACAAAAGAGAAAAACGAAGCTGTCCGGGGCCAGGACTTTGAGAAGGTAACTTTTGTTTACCATTGCGGTCTTGTCTGTTACTCGTTTGAAACTTTCCTGATAAAGACTCGGATCTGGTCTCGTCGTTGTGAAGTAATGCTGATAATTTTGGTCCTCATTACTTGGTTTGTCTCTCGCTGCAGGCTGGTGAGTTGAGAGATAAGGAAATGGAATTGAAGGCTCAAATTTCAGTCTTCATCGAGAAGGGTAAGGAGCAAATGAAAGCAGAGAGCGAAACCGGCGATGTTGGGCCTACTGTTGAAGAGTCCGACATCCAGCAGATTGTGGCCGCCTGGACTGGCATTCCCATGGAGAAGGTTTCAAGTGACGAGTCTGACCGTCTATTGAAGATGGAAGATACTCTTCACAACAGAGTTATTGGTCAGGACGAAGCTGTGAAAGCTATCAGTCGCGCTATTCGTAGGGCACGTGTTGGGCTGAAGAACCCTAACCGCCCTATTGCCAGTTTCATCTTCTCTGGTCCCACCGGAGTCGGAAAATCAGAACTTGCAAAAGCTCTGGCTTCCTACTACTTCGGTTCCGAAGAAGCTATGGTGAGGCTTGACATGTCTGAATTTATGGAAAGACATACTGTCTCCAAGCTTATCGGCTCTCCACCTGGTTACGTCGGTTACAGTGAAGGAGGCCAGTTGACTGAAGCCGTTCGCAGGAGGCCTTACACTGTCGTTCTTTTTGATGAGATTGAGAAGGCTCATCCTGATGTCTTCAACATGATGCTTCAGATTTTGGAAGATGGACGCTTGACTGACAGCAAGGGTCGAACTGTTGACTTCAAGAATACTCTACTCATCATGACTTCAAATGTTGGAAGCAGTGTCATTGAGAAAGGTGGAGGTGGTATTGGTTTCCAGTTGGATTATGGTGAGAAAGACTCGAGCTACAACCGCATCAAGAGTCTTGTTAATGAAGAGCTAAAGCAGTATTTCAGGCCCGAGTTTTTAAACAGGCTTGACGAGATCATCGTCTTTAGGCAACTCACAAAGTTAGAAGTTAAGGAAATTGCCGATATCATGTTGAAGGAAGTCTTCGAGCGTCTCAAGAAAAAAGAGATTGACTTACAAGTTACTGAGAGATTCAGGGATCGGGTTGTTGATGAAGGCTACAGCCCTAGTTATGGTGCTCGGCCATTGAGGCGAGCTATTATGAGGCTTCTGGAAGATAGCATGGCGGAGCGCATGCTTTCTGGAGAAATCAAGGAGGGAGATTCAGCTATTATTGACGTGGATAGCGATGGTGGTGTCACAGTATTGAATGGTACCACAGGAACATCCACGAATACAGCCATAGACCAGGCTCCTGCTGGTATTGCCTAAAACCCACGACATTCGAGGGTTTTTCTTGATAGGTAGAGGTTGTGATCTGCTAGGTTTGGTAGATTCAGAAACTTAGTTCGAGTTCCCTCTGTAATCATAGCAAAATGTGGTTCGAAACATCGAAGAAAGAGTCAATTGATACCTCAAGCGTTTATTCTTTCTCGATGATCACATTCTTGGCACTCTTCAGATTTGTGCATGGAGTATGAATTGTTACATTTTGCTGTGTCCATCACTTATACAGTCAAGTAGATGGTCTCGAGGTTACAATCCTTGTGTAAGAAATTTAGATGCACACCAAGCTTCTGAAAGCTTTCTTCAGAACCCCGCTGTTAACTGGTGTTAAGGCCTCATTAAGCAATGACTGTCGCTGTAGAAACTCATTCCTTGTATCAATTTTCGATATTCTTGCACTCTCCAGTTGATCCTTGCAGAGACTTTTATGTCTTTGGTTGGGTACAGCTTCTCCATTCAAATTCACCGAAGCATGGGAAGCTGGCCAATTTATTCAAAAGAGTTGGTTCGTCTTTGCAAAACGTAAAAGAATCATACCAACGGGATGTAGGAGAAGGTAGTCCGCATTGCGGGGAACAAAAATCTGGATGTGTTTGGAAAATTGAGGATGCTTGGTAGAGAACGTGCTCAGCAGGATTCGAACCTGCGCGGGCAGAGCCCACATGATTTCTAGTCATGCCCGATAACCACTCCGGCATGAGCACGTAACCACCCTTGCCATGTCGACGGGGGATTCGTTTCACCATATCGATTCCACTTAAACTACTATTCAGTGCAGAAAGTACGCACCCACCACATGAGGCCATAAAATCTTCATATTTTTTTATGTGAGTAAAAGCTTTGCCTAAAAATTCTTCCAAAAGTTTCAGTGTAAGCCATAGTCTACTTAATGGGTCTTTGTTGTTAAGAGAGTATAAGATAGTTGTCTCGCATTTTGATACTTGTTGTACATACAAGTTTTTTGAAGAATCAAATATTAATATTTTTTATTGAAGCAAATTACAATGAAGAATTTGAGGTAGAAAAAGATTAAAATTTGGAGATTTTTTGAAACATATTGAAGTGTGTTGTATATGGATAAAATATACTATCTATATACATATATGGAAATCATTTGAGTATCTAGCAAATGTACCAAAGTATATATATTCATTTCTATTGTCAATTCTTTTATTCAAAAATATATTAATTTGAATTTCTGGAACAACATTTCTGAAATACCTTAAATTAGCATGTAATCATGCAATTTAATTCAATTTATTTTTAAGAAAAAATTATTTACTACAATATTTTTATTTTAAAATCAAAATTCTATATTTATTAAAGAATATCATATAAGAATATGATAAAATATAGGAATAAAAATAAATATTTTAATTTTTTAATTTTTACTTAATTTCAAAAATTAAATTATAAAAATCTTAGTTATTATAAAGAGTATTTTTATTAGATCAAAACAATTGTGTACCACAAAATTAATTTTATTAAAGTCTAAAATAGATAAAATTATAAAAAATTATATAGGTATTAATTTCATAATATATTTATAATTTTTAAAATATAATGAGGTTATTCTTTTAAAAAAAAATTCTTATAAAAGTTATTATTAATCTTTATGAAAGTTGTTTTTTTAAAAAATAAAAGATTAAAATCAAATAAAAATAATAATACTTAAATATAAATACAAATTTATTATAGACTTAAAAAAAATTTAAAGATAAATTTGCACTTAAAAAAATTCAACTTAAAAGTCCTAAAAAATTAAAAAAAATAAAAAAAATAGAATACATATTTTTTCTACATGATATTAATAATATTGGATCCCAAAATTTATGATAGATCCACTTCAAGGAAAACACTTAACAAAACTTTAAACAATGTCACAAATAAAAATATTTATAAAAATTTATAAGAATTAGATAGAAATAAGTAGAAATAAGTAAATTTGATAATATCTTATAGAGAAGCTTCTTAAAAATTTCATAAATCTTATTAGAGATCCTATAGAACATCACTACATAGCTTCTAATAAGATAATATATATAGTTGTAAGATTAAAGCCTTCATCATTATCATCAAAGCCTGTCAAGGATATAAATCTCAAAGAACGAAAATCCCCAACACACTCTTGTATCATTGAAAGGAACTAGAAAGTCACTCAAAGATGATATAATTTTGAACTAGAATGGCTATTGCCAAAAGTAAGAAGACTAGAAAGTCTTGAAACAAGACTAAGGACTAAAAAGGCATTGACAAGAGTGAAGAAGGCTTCATCCTTGCTTACATATATATTCTCTAACTAGGAGCTATGTGGCAATATTCTATAGGACTTCCAACATGTCTTGACTTTGTTAGCCACATGTCTTAACTTCCAAGGCAAGTTATTTATATATGTGCCACATAGTTAGCTTGTTTCACAAGCTATTATACAGAGTTAACTTCTTCTACAAGCTACCAACACGTGGTTAACTTGTTGGCCAAGTTTTTCATCTACAAACACATCTAAAGTCAAAACCACATCTATAAAGCTTCTAGGAAGCTTCTATAGAAGACTTTATGAAATTAATCTATATTTACCTACTTATTCTTAATCATATAAGTAACTATTAGGATAAATGTATATGTCCATAACAAAGTCTTTCTTGTTCCTAGTCTTATTTTAAGAATCTCTAGTATTTTTTTCTTCAATAAAAGTCATTTTAGTTATAATATTATACTATATTTGAATCAATATCTATTCTTTTTAGATGACACAAGAGTGTATTGTATTAAAGACATGAACTTTAAAAAATTAAAAAATCAAGACACTCTTGTATAACTTGAAAAAACTAGATAATCACTCAAAGATGATATATTATGAAACTAGAATGGATTAACAAAAATACATATGTATTCTATTAAATACCTATATAATTAAGTAGAAGTAGGTTAAAATAAATAAAAATAGGTTAATTTCATATTATTTTTTAAAGAAGCTTCCTAGAAGCTTTATAGATGTTTTTTTGACTTTATATGTGTTTGTAGTTAATTAGTAATTTAGAAACTTGGTCAACAAGTTAACTACGTGTTGATAGTTTGTAGAATAAGCTAATTACATGGCGCTCATATAAAAAACTTACCTTGCAAGTTAAGATACATATCTTAGAAAGTCAATACATTTTAAACGTCTTAATATCTATATATATTACATTTTAGAATCTTCTAATCTATGATAGTTTGAACTTTCTTTGGATCTATTATAAGCCCTTTGTTGGAAATGATCTATCCTAAGGAATCAACCTAAGTAGTATAGAACACACACTTTTTCATCTTAGCATATAATCTTCTATCTCTAAGTTTTTGTAACACATGAAAAATATAAATTTCATGTTCTTTTGTATTCTTAGAATAGATTAGAATATTATCTAAATAACAAATAAAAAAATCATTAAGAAATTCACAAAAAATATTATTTATAAAATATTAAAATATAGCTAGTCTATTTGTCAGTCCAAAAAGTATGACATTATATTTAAAATATCCATACCTAATTCAAAAAGAAATCTTCTATTCATCTCTTTCTTTGATGTTGAACAAGTTGTATACTCTTTGTAGATCTATTTTTATATAGATATTTGCTTGTTTGAGTTGGTCAAGAAGTCTTGAAATTAGAGGTGAGGGATACCTATTCTTAATGGTGATCTTATTAAGTTTTTAATAATCTATGTACATCTCTAGAGATCTATCATTTTTCTTCTCAAATAATAGGAGCTTTTGCTAGAGATTTCAAATAGCATATGAAGTTTTTTGCGAAATTTTCTTCAATATACTTATTTAATGTAGCCAATTTATTTTGCAATAAGTTGTAGATTGGTCTAAATGATGGTTGAGCTCCTTCTTAAAAATCAATTGAGCAATCATAAAATCCATGCTCTAGAAGAATATTTATATTTTTCCTTTCAAAAATAACTTTGAAATCTTAATATTAGCTAAAGATACCACTTGAAGTCTTCCGACTATCAGAAATAAGCGTGGCATATATAACAAAAGATGATTCTTCTTTTTCCATAGTAATGAAAGCTTTTGTACCTACTAATAAGGGTTTAGATGTACTAAGCTTATGTATTTCTATTTGATTAATAAAATTTTGGATCAAACTACAAGAAAAATTAAGATTATAAGAAATGAAATCTATTTAAAGATTCTATTTTTTAAACCAAGATAATCTTAAAATAATCAAATTTAATATAAATCTTATTATATTAAATATTACTATGCTATTATGATCTTTAATTGCTACATCTAAAAGAACAATCTTATAGATAACATATCTAGAAGACAACAAACAACCATCTATGATTTCTACATATATGGATTTATTTTTCTTGACTAACAATGCCTCTTGTTTTTTTACAAAGTCTTTGTCTATAAAGCAAGGTGATGCTTTTGAATCGAATAAAATTAAGACTTTGTAATTTTTTGGTCATAAATAAATTTCTATTGTAAAACAAGGTGAAGGATCTAAAGAGAGAATATGACTTCTATTAAGAGTTATATAAGATTTTAGTTGTGCGATCTCTATTATAATTGGAGAAATTTATTTTTTTAACTTATCATCTTTTTTGGCAACCATACTCCTCATTTTGTGATTGTGTTGTTTCTTTAAACAATATTAACTAGTGTGTTTAGCTTCTCCACAATATAAGCATAAGCCTTCTTGACAACATCGAGTCTTCATGAAGAATTAAAAATGTATTGTATTAATTTGAATTGGTTCTCACCTTGATGAATAAGTTTTGAAAAAATTCGAAGCTGCCATCACTACTTAACTTGTTTCTCTCCAACCAAGTCTTTGTTCTTGATGTCTTTTAAATAATTGATTGTTGCATACAATGGCTTGAGCAATAAATTATCCTAAAAAAATAATGTATATAATAAATCTTGTGCTTTTGGCAACATTAATAACAAATCTTTGATGTTATCCTTCAACTCATATTAAAATTGATTGATATGGACTTTGTCATTTTAGTCCATATTGTAAGCAAGATTTTAGAATTCAGTAGTATATATAGTAGTTGATTGTGATCCTTGTTGTAAAGATAAGAATTTGGTCTCTGCTACTCTTTTTTTATTGCTTTCTTTGAATGTTGTCTTGAAGATTTTTAAGAATGAATTCAAATCATAAAAGAATCATGAATCCTTTTCCATCAAAGGTGCAAACTAAAAGAGAGCACTTCCAGATTAAAGTGCACCTATGAACTCAACTTAAGTAAATCCATCAAGATATTGGAAGGAATGCAACCTTAGATAGAACTTGACTTGTTGCAAAAATCCTCAATATTTTGATTTTTTTCCATCAAACTTCTTGAGCATACTAATCTTTGTCCTTGTCATACTTGTAGAAGAAAAACTTCTTAAATTTTATTGTAAGGTCAATTTACTTGCTTCCTTTAATTGTACAATATCTTAATGTAGACTCTGAATTTCTTTTGTAGGCATAAGATGAGTTTTTTTGTGGTTGACACTCTTAATGCATGAAATTTCCACCTTAAGAGTATTGACAAGTTTGTGAAGATGAACAATAGTTACAAATCTATTCTTAGTTTTTCTAAGAATAGCATCCATGATTTTTCTTTTCATTTCAAATAACTTAAAAAATCCACAATCAAATTAGAGAAAGATAATTTGGAACCTCTAATATCAAATGAAAATTTTGACAAAAAAAGATAATCTATTCTTATTAAAGAAAATATCATTGTTAAAAAACTATATAATTTATTTAAAGGTGGATAATCTACAACCTTTAAAAGACAACAATAGAAGTGGGATAATTCACTGACCTCTAAAATAAGATAAAAATAATGACTTGGCATTTTTGTCAAACTGTCAAGGACATGAATTTTGAAGAACTAAAAGATCAATATATTCTTATATCACTCAAAAAGACTAAATAATTACTTAAAGATGATATATTATTAAACTAGAATGGCTATTTTTAAAGATAAAAATACTAGAAAGTCCTAAAAATAAGACTAAGGACTAGAAAGGTATTGACAAGAGTGAAGAAGACTTCACTCTTGCCTCCATATATACTCTTAATTAGTGGTGATTTCTTATTGAACCTCTAAAATGTGTTAACTTTCTAAAACACATATCTTAACTTGCAAGGCAAGTTTTTTATGTGTGCTACATAGTTAGCTTGTTCTGCAAGCTATCAATACATGGTTAATTTTTTGACCAAGTTTTTAACCTACCAATCAACTACAAACACATGTAAAGTCAAAGTAGTATCTACAAAGCTTTTAAGAAGCTTTTTTAAAAAATATTATGAAATAAAACTATTTTTATCTACTTCTACTTAATCATATAGATAAATATCAAAATAAATATGTATGTCCATGACATATTGACATTTTGATTGCTTGTGATTCATATACTTGATACTAGAAATTACATTAAAATTTGTCAAAAATTATAATTTAATAATAAAGATTTAATTTTTAAAATATTTATTATAACTTTTAGAATTAAGATATGAATTAATATATTTAGGCTTTTAGTAAAATAATAATTTGATCTATTTTTTACTAATTTTGTCTTTTTTCTATTTTCAAAAGTTAAATTCTTCAAGTGAAATATTTATTGTACTAAGTAAAAGACCTTTATAAGGCTTTTGTAATAGAGCCTATAAAGATGATTTTTCATGCTTAATGACCTTTTAAAGTAAAAAATATAATAAAATTTTGGCTATGATTTAAAATTATATTTAACTTTTAAAAAGAATGAATAAATAAAATAAAACACTTAAATAGCTTTAAAAAATTTCTAATAATAATAATCTTTATTTTTTTTGCATAAATCATAAATTAATAAAATCAAATATATACTAAATTGAATAAGATTTTTAATACATCTATTAAACTAAAATTATTTATCATTATTTTGATAAAAATATTAAAAGTAATTTTAAAAATTAGCAATTAATTAAAAAATATATATACATTTTATACATTAAAAACTAATAATTACATACATGTTTTACAAACAAAATGTTTGAAATTGACAAAATTTATGTAATAAAAATTCAATCAACCTATATATATGTGTGTGTAAAATTGAAACACAAAAGAAATATGCATAGATAGATTCTATCACTTGTTGTAATGCCAATCTGAACCAAAGGGGATTGAAAAATATTACCTTAAAATTTATGAGTTCTTTTATAAAATCGAACTATTTTCTCAAGCTTTAAAAAATTGGTCATAGGTTACATATTGTTTCACGGTTAAAGAATGAAGTGATCTTATAAATGGAAGACTTGTTTGTAGTAAGAAAACAAATAGATGTCCCAAATCTCTCCATACCATGGTGGTAGAGAATTCTTTACAATAAGAAGAATGGTTCTGGAAGCAATGTATGTGGAGCTTCAAGATCTGCATCTCGTGTGAAACCTGAATCCCACATTAGCAAATGCAAAAGCAATATCAAGGAGAACTTCATGTTCATCATGTTCATCATCTTCTTCCTTTCAAGTCCAACACAACAGGTTTATGTGAAACAAAATGCTGCAGCATAACACAAGCTTGCAGAAAAGACCCAGTTTGAGGATCACATAACTGTCTATCAGTTGTATTTTTCACAGAGTTGCGGCGCTTTTCCTTGCAGTGATGGGATTCAAGGGTGAGGCTCTTGGATGCGAGGGGGAGCTCTCGTGGGGGCTGTCGTGGGAGCTTGGCGGAGACGCAGGATCCCACAGCTTCTCAAAGGGGAGGAACAAGTTTAAGTCTTGTGGTTTCTTCTTGCCCTGAGAGCCTCCCCCACTGCTGGTCGATGGCAACGCAGCTGGGAGATTTCCCACTCCCTGGTTCGCCTTCGATGACGCCTCACCTCCACTGGATTGTGGTTTTGTGGAGATGGTCGATAGATGACTCGAGCTCCAGCTTGGCTTGGATTGTTTGTGAGAACGCTGCGGTACGTCTTCACGACCGGAAGACTTGATGGATCTGTGCACCCCGCACACTGGTATTCATTAGACATGAGCTCATTGCGTAAGGAAAAAGCACTTAAAGGCGGAGAGTGGATCGTTGAGTAACGAAACTTGCCTTCTCTTGGAGGAGTCCAAGTTTGATGGTCGCAATGGAGACCTTTGTGGAGTCACTTGAGATGTGGGCTGGAAAGGAAACAAAGACAAACCAATTGCTTCCGTCATATTGGATTCTTAGTGCGCATTGTAAACTGTCAGGCTAACCAATGTTACTTAAACAAATACAAGAGGTCATTTCGTGAACGAGTACAATCCTATGACGTGCCTTAGAAATTGAGCATGAGAAAGCTACTCTCTTCAAGGGTGTGAGTGCGATGATGAGATGGAGAATCAGAATGGAAAGAGGTGCACAGATGAATCAGTATTGGAATAATCATCCAGTGTGAAGTGGGATTAGAGATGGACGGAGTGAAGACATACGATGTTCACGCACGGACTTGGCTAACTCAGGCCCTGATATTATTGGATTATAACGACGAAATTACGCTTGTATGGAAGTCAGACCGTGTATATTCTAGCAGTTGGATGACTTGCACTCCAGACATGCTTTTATGCCACCGAAACCCACTCAGATCCCCGTTACCCCATACGGACTTCCAAACGGTTGTGAGCTTTCACCCAAAAATTGTCTATGCTCATGGGTTGTGCTCTCAAGAGAGGACTCTGAATGGTCTCCGTAGACAGTTGTTTTGTGTGTCCAGTGTCTGAGAGATGAAGGGCGTACCCCAATCATCCAGGAATGTTGCATTAACTCATCTGGGGTCATTCGGGCGTCCTTGTCCCATCTCAAACAACTCTCCAAAAAGTCTACGAACATTAGATCCTTGCACATTATGGCGGTAGCCAGATCCTTGGTGCCTGGCCAATGTTTCTTCCCCCATGAGTTGGAAACTATTCTTGGGCAGTTATTACTATCTGCAACACCATGAAGTGAATGAATTCAGACTTTGCATGTCATAGTCTAAAGAATGAATAGTTGTAACTTTTTGACTTGAAAGAGAACATTTAAATTTGATAGACACACCAAAAAACATTTTCTTGCGCGTGGCATTTTCGAGGACGGCACTCGAAGGCAGGCCCAAGACTTCCATCATGCATGCCAGCTGCTCCACCTCGTTCTCTCCTGGAAAGAGAGGGTACCCTGTCCCCGGAAGGATTTCCAAAAACTCAAGTCAAAAATAGAGTGACTACGATTTACTAACATACTAAGCAAAGAATAGCAAGAAGAGGTTCTTAGACCAAAATTAAAGAGAATGAAGAGTTTCATAGCTACAAAATTTCATACTTAAACAGAGTTGAACTCGATCAGATGATTTTAAACTTAAAAACAGATTCTGACAAACTCATAAAATGCGGGGCACTACCTGTCCCAACTAACAATACTCTTCCATCTACATTCTCTATCAGTATTGTAGCGCGTGTATCTCCTAATGCCCAATGTTTGTGCAAGTACAGTAATAGTTTGGTTACAAAGTGTACATTTGCAAAGTGTATGGTTGCAAAGTACCTGAGAAAAGCTCAGCTAGAATGCAACCAAAGCTCCAAATGTCTACCTTCGTGTCATAAGGAAGCCCTGCAGATATAAAATCATCTAATTATGTCATTACATAAACAGTGCATCACAACCTGAAACCTGAAATGACAATGGAATAATTGTAAAAATTGGCAATAACTGTACTAATGGTTCATGACTTGCTGTATACCTAGAATTACTTCAGGCGACCGGTAAAATCGGCTTTGTATGTAAGTATAAACTGCACAGAGACAACCATACTATTTCAATGAGATAGGATGTTCGTAGCAGCCAAAAAGATAGCTGGCCACATAAAATGACAATATTAAATTGAACCGGGAAATTCTTCAACCTCTGCTCTTATGATGAATGACAGGTCCTGTGTCATCGAGAGTAAAGTGCACCATACCCGCTCAGAATGCATTGACCTCGCAAGGAGAGGAGTGGTACATTTGGTTCGAATCATCGTCACCAGCTACTACCCTTTCAAGGACCGAACACGACCATTTGCACCATTCACTAGCTACATAAGAAATGACAAAGTATATCTATTTTTACTGTTTTTTCCATCGTTCGTTAATTTCCTCTAATGGGTACGGCCTAAAGATTTTTCTTTCATTTTCATCTCACCTTGCAGCTGTCTCACTTCACCCTGCTCGTCCTGCCCTTATGAGGGGGTGGCACCTAAAACCTTCTACACCGCAATTAATTGTGCATGGAATTCCACAGTAATTTTCAAAAAATTCCTGTATTTCACATACACTTTAATCATTCTCTGAACATGCGAATTTCCGTACCTGTGACCTTTCAGCAGAATCTCGTGTTGAGAAAAACATCGCCCTTTAACAATGCAAATGGCACCTCATTAGTGGAAAGAGCTACTGACAAAAGCATATCTCTAGGCAAATCCCATCATTTGCAAATTAAAAAAAACTTATGAGAACATAATGCTTTTCTTCTTCTTTTTTTTTTCTTTTTTATCTTTTTTTTTTTTTTTTTTTTTTTTTTTTTTCCTCCCCCAATGGTCTTTCTACTACGACGTAAGTTGCAGGCACAAAGCTCCTGGTGACATTGTTAATATGACGGTGGGGGCCACTTCACGCGGGGTGCACGTGTATTTCTGACTGTCTTTCAAGCATCTCACAGCATCCGCTTGAAAGGTATTCAGGTCACGTCTTCGATCACTCCGAACAAATAATTCCTTGAAAGTACAGCTTGGTGCAAAGTTTCATCAAAAGACATATTTCTGGCTGTCAGACCATGCTCTCCTACTGATTTCCTTAAAGTGCATATGAACATTAATTTAAGATGTTATCATTAGGCACCTTTTTCGTGGCTGAAGCAGCTAGATCCGAAGTCGATGACTTTTATCTTTGACATTGCGGGATGCTGCAGTAGGATATTTTCAGGCTTCAAATCACAGTGAATCACATTCAACTTTCGCAAGTACCGGAGGGTTTGTAGCAGCTGACTTGCGAAGCTCTTGATCACAACCAGATTTATGCCCTGCAATGTTCAGCTTTCTCTTGCATTAGTTCGGAGTTAAATCCATCTAATTTCGTTGGAAAGCCCCTGAAAGATTCGGTTTAAAACCGCCGATTGTGATACGCAACAGTTGGCAAAACTGGGTATCAAAATTACTTGCACCCAAGATATCTTCCACATTATATATTCATGCGTATTATCTTCCACATTATATATTCATACGAGAAAACTCAATCTACTGTGACATAAACAGATTCACATTGGAACAGAGATTTCAACAGATGTCAGGTATTTAGCGAAGGGGACTCCCAAGAGATTAAATGTTGTGAAGATAGGGAAATTTTAAAGGGAAGGGACAGTAATTCATTCTGTGAGTTGTTCAGAGGTTCATTGCTAATGTACGACATAAAAAGATGGGTACAGTCAGACTCGTTTGACATGAAAGAAGAGGTTCTTAGTGCTAGAGAAGATGAGTACCTGGAAATTATTGCGCTTGATGAGTTCGTAGAGAGAGATGTCATGGAGGGAAAAAGTGATGCAAAGATGGCTGCGGAAATAGAAAGACTCGTAAATTGTCACGATGTTGGTGCTGCTGGACTCCTCCTTAGCCTGCAAGATAAACGTTTTGCCTATTACTTTTAGCAGCAAAAATGTAACTGGAGGTGCAACTGTACTTGGTACTTTGTAGTGAAACAAAAACGCGTTACATCAAGACTCGCAGTGTGGATTCACTTATTTACTTTTACTATTGTATGCTGAATAGAAGTATCTGACTATACTGTCTCAAATGTACACGAAAAGAATCACTAAAACTTTCCCCGGTACAACGCTACCCTGACACCGAAACTTAATGCCAAATACTCTTCAAACTAGACCTTTGCCAATAATCGTCCGATTCACCATCATTCTTAGAATACAACATAATCTATGATCAATGCATTCTGCTAGGCATAAACGTACCTTATCTCTCAAATGCTCCAGGATTTTGACCTCTGTAAGAGCTTGCTGATGAAATCGCCTTTTATTACGGATCATTTTTATGGCTCTCAGAACTTTGTACTTATGATCACTACACTTGAGAACTTGACCGAAACTGCCCTTGCCCAATGTTCCTAACACCTCGTACCTATACGCAAGCTGGTCGTGATTCACCACATTGTAGTCGCCTCTCTCATCGTCATAACCTGCAGTTGCTCAAAATCATCATTCTACCAGTTCGACCGCATTCCAAATGTGGCTTGCACTACGGGTTTGCACTAAGAAGGCATCTTCATGGTTCTATAACTGGCGCATTGCATAGGATAAGCTTGAATGCCGAAGCGACGCACAGAGACCTGAAACTCTGAAACTTAGTGACATTTGACTGTAAGCTGAACGTATTCTGCAACCGCATACAGTTGGATTCTAAATGATGCTCAATATGCACGAAGTAACTGGTCTTGAGATGTTCCAGTATGGGTTCGATATTAGCTATATGAGAAATCATGGTATTGGCACAATTGAGATGGCACACGATACTGTAGACCGTCTGTATTCCAGTTACATGACACGAAAATTCTTGAACAACGAAAGCATCCTCTAGCAGGGGTACCCAATAGTTACCAAATTCAATCTAGAGACGAGGAAAATAGAGAAGCTTACCAAAGTTGCAGGTGCCAAGGGTAGTGGAAGGCTGGATCTTATCGCTTTCCAGGCCTAGGTAATAAATTTGAGAGTAAGGAAGGATTTCCCTCTGTTCAAACTCGTTCAAATGTTGTCCACACTGCCTGAGGACCACTGCAAATTCCCGGACCTCTTTCATCAGCAGACTTGATGTAAACATTCAGACACTGCCGCATCAGGCAGTCTCATTGTCAAGAATGTGTTGATGAAATTTCTAAAACAAGGACAGTGTATCAGGAAATAGAAAGATTCTGCCAGTTACAATTGCAATGAGGGTGCAACCACTGTTTCATTGCAGGGAAATACCGTACTTTCAGGAGAGGAACCTATTCCCGGGCTCCCCAAAGCAGGCATTGCAGTATCATATTTCTGCAAAGAAGTATCTGGCAGTTCTCATTATTGCATTCTTCATCGCTCTAGTGTCACATCTTCTCATCTTGTTCGAACAATCTAGACATTACAGACGTCGAACATGAGGAAGCCCACGTTCCAAACGGCAGAAATAGATCCATGATAAATCCTAAACTATTAACTTCTGATGAAACTGAGATGCATCGTTATGCATCAAAAAAACACAACTGAAACGACATCTCCAAGTGGAAGGGGCTTACATGATCACGGCTCTGGATTAGAGATGTAAGCATCGACTTCCGAGACGTGCCCCTTTCAGTAATTACCAATCTTGGACTTGCCTCAGCAGCAGCCTGCCTTTCCACCTTATCACATATTGAAGCCAAACTCAGCATACCTGGGTACACCAAGCTTCAGTCTATTCTCGCCATTAACAAATTAGCTTATCTAACTCGTCCTTAATTAACCCAAGACGTATCAGTGAATCAGGTCTCAGGTATGCTGAGTTTGGCTTCAGAATATTCCCCAAAAATTGATCATGGATTTTACGTGAAGTGTTCGTGCATCACGAGGTGAGGATCGTCAGAACTGTGGATAATTGGAGGAAAGAAGCAAGTAAGCACTTACAGAAGATCTAGAGGTTTGAGCACTGTCGATAGGGTTTCCACCAAATCCTGCACGTCCGTTTCATTTGTATCAGGTCGTGAAAATCTAATTCATTCGAGAATAACACGAGCTGCTAGGACTCAGTTAAGGAGACGTGTATCATAGCAAAGACAAATGTAAACAGAAGCCCAGAAGCACGGATGCTTCACGTTATTAAAGCATCATGGAAAGATTAAGAAGAGGTACTTTTTACTTTCAAATACAAGAAATGGAAACCCCCCTTTAACCTTCCAAAGGTTTCCAAGGATGCTTCAAACAATATCATCTATATCACTACTATAACCCTAAAACACCCACATGCATGAATAATTGCAAGTGCGTTAGTAGCAAACTGGAGCATACTGATGCCGTGTAAGCGAAACGCTTAGATGTCTTCAGTACTGCCAGGCAGTAAAGCATTCTAGAGCACAACGATGGGATTACATGGAAACTGTGTGGCTGGGTGGATGGATTAGAGAAAAACAAGTGTGGAGAGGTTGTAGAGTTGAGGTGTTGCTTGATGGGATTAATTAACGACAGAAAGGACGTCATACCAAGTGGTACAGTAGTCTGGCATGAGGCGATATTGAGCTTAGGCGGCTTTATTGCTTTACTACTCTGCTGAACAAGTGCACTTAAACAAGTGGGCTGCTTGTGGGTGGCTGAATCTAAGCTTCCATCTTCACCCTGAACTTCATCCGCACCTCTGCACAAAGACCATATCAACAACGTTAAAAAAAACCCTCATCCAAGCTGCAGCTTGATAAATTCTTGCCTGGATTGCACGTCAATAACCCACCGCAGTCATTGATGTGAACTGAATCAGATCATGCGAGATGAGACACACCAATTTAAGCCTATAATTGATCATAATGAATGAATCGTAAAAAAAGCCATATGTTGCATGTATAGAACTGCTACTGATCCTTTTTCATGTCGCATTGATGTGAGACTAGATGATCCAGGTCCACGACGTCGTTAGTATGGAGGCGATCGGCTGTAAAACGCTATCAGTTATTGTGGTGTCCAGGATTACAACTTTTTTTCTTGAATTTATGCACAATTAGAGTGCAAAAAGCGTACCTTTGTAACGCAAGGTGTTTGCGGGTAGGACGACGATCTGTGCCTTCTTTGAGACCTACTTTTGCCCCAATAGCCTTCTGGGATTTCACTGGGCGTACCAAGTTGCTCCCCCTTTTCGGCCTAGAATACATCTTCAAATAAATAACTCACTAGTTAGGTTCACTACAGAGGAAACACAGAAAACTATGTTCTTACCCGCTAAAATCCAGGAATTCACAGAACTCAGCAGTCTGGCTTCTCCTCTACTACCCAACCTGCCTAAATCAAAATTTCTATAATATTAAATTGGGCTAAATTTTGTCAAAATCATGTTTTGATCGTTTCGATTTAATTCTTGGCATGGGGGATATTAAAACGGAAACTTTTGTCAAAAATCTACATACACAAAAAGCTGTGGAAGATTGCCTGTGGCATGCCTCGCTCTCTGCGCTAATGTCTTCCGGCAGAGGTCTGGATGTTTTAAGCTTCATCTTTTTCTTCTCCTCCATTTGCATCCTTTCTGCATTCAAAAAACCTCTAGCGCTGTGATTTCCTGCACTCATGATGCTCCTCCCAGATTGCCAATTCTGCTTGAAGATTCCCGGATTTTTTCGTGGCTCGGCACATGAGGCCCCATCGTCTGCCTTCGCACCTCCTTCAGAGGTCTGCGGTTTGCGGCACTCTATTCTACCCTCTCGTCTGGTTAGTAAAAATCCTGTAGCAGGTTCAATGGGCTCATTACCTCGTTCTGTTACTTCTCTCATAGTCAACCCAGATTCTGAATTGCCTGGCGCTGTCATTCCTCGATTCGACAGACTCCCACCTTTGCTCAAGCTATGCAAAGTAGACCCCTTCAAATTTGCTCTCCTGCGAGTCTGACTTGGCGTGTAAGGAAAGTATAACGCAGGAAAAAAAGGATGTGAAGTGGAGGTAGTTTGCTTAGTAGAAAGCGTCTTCTCTCGATTAGCTGCCTGGCTAAGTTTGGATATGCTCTGAGCTCTTTCGTCAATGTACAACCCGGTTTTCGGAGATCGCTGTGTGGCATTGGTACCCTTCGCCCTGTCCTGGATCCCTGAAGGTTCAGCAGAGACTGATGAACTTGCACCAGCTTCATTCAGAGGTATGTCCTCCAGCTTCTGATCAAAAAATGAATCATCGCCGTTAAATCCTGTAGCGAGCTCTGCTTCGTCAGTTAAATTGTGTCGAACCTTTGCCAAGTTGAGGATAGGTAGCTCGGCCCTCGCCGTGTCAATCCTCCTCGGCCTTTCCATAGCACGGAGTGTCCCAAACATTTTGCTCACTCCTGAGATTGCCTTCGAATAAAGGATTTTCCGCGATCCACGTGGTCGTTGGCTTAAATCGTGATTTAGAAGAGCAGTATAGTGCAGGAGCTTGGATTCGGCACCAGAGGCCGAATCCTGCCGCCCCATCCTGCGTTGCCTAAACGATTGAATGTTGGCAGCTGTTCAGAACCAGAGCAATGCAATGACGATCATGCTCAACTCGAACGTCAAAATATGTCTAGACTGTCAAAAAACTTTGTCCCAGTCGCATGGATTGAGTTTGCTGGAAACTGATATTTAGGGAAAGACCTTCCCTGAGGACTTTTTCAGTTATTTCCGAATCTACTGGGTCATAAGGACGTGTGATTTTCGTTTGAGGGCAAACTCAAACTGTGGTAACCCTCCGAAAACACATTCCACAGCTCAAAGAGGAACGAGTCCCTGACTGGGATCCCTCCGAGAGTGCATCAATTGGTTCCTCATAGACCCTAAACATCAGCTCCTGCAAAAGGGCGGAATGTTTGTTTCAGTGGAAACACAACTATGCATGCATACCAGCCAGGGACCCCACTTCACTTCGTCCAGTCATTATCGAGAACGAACACTTCGATTTCAGAATTTGTGTCGAGATCTTTTAAATGCAAACTCCCACAAATGATCAGACTTGGTAAAATAGTGATGACAAATCTCAGGTTCTCAAGATCCTCTTAAAATAGCCATCCTGATTGTAAGGGAGATTAAGGCAAGCAAAACAATCAAGCTGTTGTAAAGTATGTGACCCGTCTCATAGCTGTAAGTTCTGGGTCACGCTTTGGCTTCGTGATCTCTTAATTGGAAAGTGAAACTAGTCAGTATTACACCTCGAAGACTTAAGAATAGAACAACTCAACATGGTACATTTGAAAAAACTGATCGACAGAGAAGTGGGGCAACTATGAGCTTGCCAGATCCAGCACAACAAAGACACACAATGGACTAGAGGAGACTTAGATTGCAAATAATAAAGAGCGCTCACTGGCGCTACTTCGTGGGAACCATCTCTGTTGATAACAAATCCCTTCGAAAAACGCTGTTATTTACTCCATTTCAATCTCTGCCCCTGCAACAGAACCGACAATAGCTGCTCTAAGCCAGTTGATATGCACCTTCGGATAGAAAATAGGGTTGAAAAAATCACGTTTGCAAGGTGGAGTGGAGGCGTCAAAGAGTCGTGTAGCGGTTACGAGACGCATAACGGTAATACCGGTCAACCCTTTCTTTTTTGGTAGCAAAACTTTCACCTCTCTTCGTCCTTTCTCTTCTTGTTCTACCCACTTTGTCGCTACAGTTCCTAATTTCCTAATCCTTGAAGGACCTCGGTGACCCGGCTGGTTCGCATATACACTGGATACAAGAGTGAACGGAACTCATTCCTAACTTGGCCTTTCAGTAATCGAACAGGTGAGCTACAGGCAGAATTTGTGAGTTCATATGAGACAGCGGCGATTTGTGTCTACCAAAACGAAAGAAACCCGGATAGTCGTTTCAATGAGATCTGCCAGGTTCCTGAGCACGCCTCTTTAAGATAATAACTAGAGTATGTGCGAGTGCGTGCCCCTTGCTTGGGCAGTTTGCAATCTCGAAGGCTCTCTGTGCACTCCTCTTTCCAATCGAATGTGCATAATTGGTAGCTATTAAGGACAAGCTCTGTGTAGTGACAGGCAAAAAAATTGCCAATTTTCGGCATCAACATCTGCCAAAACATCTGTTATGTTCGGATATGCACCAGTTTTACTATGCAATTGAATGCAATAGTCCAGGCGCCGATTGCTTACAGATGCAGACAGGGGAGTTCATATATTCATTCTACACAAAATTTCACTTCCATGGAAACAAAGTGCTCCCTTTGAGAAGTCGACTTACTGAATGATATAAGCAAGGAATTCTTCTTCTTCTTCTTTGCCGAACAAAATGCTCAGCCATGAAATCATTCGCAAGTGATCGTAACCTTCTTCCAAAAAATAATATTGCCAATTGCTGACTTGACGATCTGAAGGCAAAGCAGACCAAAAGACCATTAGGAGTCCAAACGGTAGCGAATCGGTAAGCTGTGTCGTCACGGATAAAAAATTTCTGATCACATTGAAAATGAAAATGAAAAAAAAAAAAAAAAAAAAAAAAAAAAACCGCACTTAAAGATTTCATGTCATACAAAGATGTCAAAATATTCAGTTCATTTTGAATCTCAAACACTCACATTCCACCATACATTCAAACAAGCGCTTAACACCAAACAACGTTCTGCACCCAATTTCTGTCTCATGACGATTAGGAGCTCTAGCACAAAACCCCAAAATCTTCAATTTTATCTTCACTCCAGGTAGACTTGTTTGCACTAATATTTCATCTTCTTAGAAACCAAGTTAACTGTGCAATTGTCAAAAGAGTTGACAGTCTTTCCACTTAAGTTATAAGACTAAAAAGAAACGCAAGTGTTCTTCAACACATGATCGAATGGCCGCGACATCTCCCTTAATGAGATATGAATAACTTTGTAGTGTGAACGCTAATGTCAAACAGAAAATTTGTAATTAGAAATTTGTGAAACCCAGTCACAAAAATCTACCGAAATAACACACTACTTGTATTACACATAATAATGGATTGGCTATTAGTATTACACTTAATGATGGATTGGGTAGAAAAAATCTCTCTCATCTTGTGGTGTGAACGTGAAGGAGTTTGTTCCCATTGTGCCACTCATGGGAACACAATTAGACTCACTAATCTAGTGTTAGTGGTAAGTAAGGTTCTTGTTGTCATTGAGATCTTGGAGTTAAAAGCTTGACATCAATAAATGAAATAAAATAAGTGCATGAATGAATAAATGCTTTACTTTACGATTTTTGCTAAGGTTTATCACATGTATGGTATATTTTTCACCTTTTCATTACTCTTGAGCTGCCAAGACAAGCAGGCATGCCAAAATAATTTGGACATGTTCATTTCTTTATAAAAATAAACATCTATTGTAAACGTTTATTTTCTTTGGCTAATATTATAGAGGTGGTTTTCTATAGTTTAAAATTTTTAAGGAAAAAAGGATAGAAAAAGTAAAAATAAGAATAAAGAATTTAGGATTTGGAATTAATTATACTTGGCATAATTATATTTTTGCAAAGGTACAAAAAGGGACGTAGTTTTACATTTCTGTATCTTTTATGTTGTCTTAAAGGCTTTCATAAAAAATAAAGAATAATATATAAATACAAATATAAATAAAAACAAAAACACTACTTATCCAAGGATACAAGACAATGTTTTACCATTAAGAACATATTTGTTTGATTTCTAGGATTTTTTTAATTTTCCATTAACTTTTAAATATTTGAATGACATTAATTTTTAGTTTTTTTACAACAACATTGTCTAGAAAAAAACTAAAAAAAAAAAAGAAAAAGAAAAAGAAAAAAGCCATTTGGTGAGCTTATGGTGCCAAGAAATAAAAATAAATAAATAAAAAAAAAAACAAACAAAATATGATTGATATATACTTTAACAAGTTTATGTAAGTAGAATCTCTTAATATATGTATACATACATATATTCTAAAATAAGATTTAAATAATTGCTTATTATCTAAAAACTTAGTCTTTAAAAAGACATTAAATAACTTTGATTCATTTCTTTAAAATAACTAATTTTTTACACTTTTGTAATAGAAAATTTACTAATAATTATTTTTTAATTAAATTATACATATCTCTTACATAAATAAATATGATTACATATAGATGTCAAATGTTTTAATCATAAAATATACGTAATCATTACAGAAAACATTTAGCATAAAATATATAATTTGAGGTAAATTTTTTTTCCTTATAAGCTTTAAAAAACTATAGAAAATCAAAGAAAATAAATCAATTTTTGCAGTGGAAATAAAATCATAAATTTTTAATAATAATAAAATATAATATTTTTATTTTATATTATTTTATTTCATAATAATCCATAATATTCTATTTAGTCAAAAACATTGTAATAAACTAAGGTATCTCTACTTGCAAACAAAAAAAGAGAGAGATTTCGAAAAACAATTGAAACCTCTTCACATAAATTGAAATTTTTTTTAAAAAAAACTTGTTAATTTATTATATTCTATTGGAAAAGCACAAGACTAATCCTGAAATTTTCTTGTATTGACAGATTTATAAACAACACAACAAATCTTTTGTAACTCAACACACTCTATCTCAACGAATTTCATGCATTCAAAAGTTATAAAGAATATATATGGTTGTACATTTAGAAGATTAAATGTTTTGATATTTTACAAAATTGTAAAATTTATATATTCATTTATATCATTTTGCAAATGTGGTCATAAATAAACGGTTTGAAATGATGTCATGGTGTGGTTTATTTTATATTTTTCTTTCATATTTTTTTGTAAAACATGCAAAACACATATTTTTGACAATAAGTTATCTTTAAGAAATTTATGAAACTATTTAGTGTAATCAAAATTAAGTTACTACAGGAAAAAATTCAAAAAAACAAAAGCGATTTTATATAATTTGTAAAGTAATAGTTAAATTGTTAAAATTTGTATATATTTAATGCTTTTTAAATTTTAAATCAAACATTGAAATACCTTCAGTGGGTTGAAAACCAAGTCTTGGTTTTGATGAATGATTCAAATCACTTACAGGTGTAGTGACGTAAATTAACAGTTATATGATTTTAAAGTCCATTTTTTCTTTTGGTTGATATAAGTTTACAAAGAAGAACATAGAATTATAATTGTAAATATAAAAACATCTCCATCCTCATTTTGTTTATGCTTTATTTTTAGATAACCAAAATAATTGATAAAGTGACCATTAGGATTAAGGACTTGCTTGCCAATTTGGAATCCACTCACATTTTGCAAATGAATATGTACAATTTCCACACTGATTGCTTAGATCAGGTGTGAAAGTTGTTGACCATTGTTTTGTTGTTATATCATAAATAGCAATGGTTGTGGCAGTATTCATATCTTTGGGTATTAAAAAACACAGAAAATTCAAGCTAGCACAACAGTCATATTGCCTTATAGTTTTCAAGTCATTAAATAATGCATTGTATATTTCCTTAGGCATCATTGTCACCTGCAAATACTCCCCTAATGGTAGCCCATTTGATACAAGAACTTCATAGACCTCGATTGTACATGGATCAATTATTGACCTTGTTAATGCATAAACTTTACCTTGTGGTCTACATTGTAATAGTCGTGGAGCTTGCATATGTTTACGAGGAAATCCTTGAGAATCTAAAATATCAAAATCTACAATGTGCCATTTTAATGTTGGCTTGTGTATGAAAAATAATTTGTTTTTCCATGTGTGGGTTTTTTCAACTAATGGCATATTTTTGTGGGGTTCACTCTCATTCAAAGAACTATTAAGATCCTTGGATTTAGAGACCATTATTTTGCAAGCTTGTGCACCTTCACTAACTTTTTTTTGACCACTAACCATATAACCCACATCAATTATGGCTATAGATGTCTTTCCGGACTTTGGGAATCGACATTGTCCTACAAAAGACCCGGAAACCCACATATCGTGCCTAGAGTCATAAGCCATGAACACAAGCTCATTACAACCTTTCTTAAAAGGTGTTGAATTCTCACAATGACTTCCAACAACATATAATCTATACCTTTTCTTTTGCAAAAGGATTTTAGTATCTTCACCACAACTTGGTGGAGGTGCCATTGTTATCATCAATGCAATCTTAGCATCCAAAGTTTTATTAGAATGGAGAGGAATGTATTTGATTTTTTTGGTGAGAGGATTACAAACCAAAAGTATAGATTGTGGGGGATAAAGTACATGGTTATAATCTTGAGAATGAGGAATTGGTGGAGTTTGAGGATTAGGCATTCTTGGTTGAAGCCCTCCATTAACACACAACAAACCTCCATCGCCAGCAATAATATCATTCACATCCAATGGCAAAAAATCAAGTTTTGGCAAACCAAACCATTTTCTAGAGTTTGGATTGAAACCTACAATTGGGTTTTGTTCAATTTTGTTAATTACACAAGGAAAGTAACTTGCATAGAGTGAACTTTTATTGTCTCTATACATGGTAGGGTTCCACAAGACCATATTTCCTTCAATAGTAGATCCATGAGGCTTTAGCCGCCAACTTGTCCAAGCTTCTAACATTTTATTTGTATCCTTAGCAAGAAGTTTGGTAAAAATATCAACAATTTCATCGGCATCCAAAACATCCCAGTTGAAATTCTTGTCAAGTATGGCACGTATCTTAATCTTATTTTTTAATCTTTCATCTTGGGCCTGTTTTTGTAATATGTCATGAATATGTCGTGATATTGCTCCTCTTGAAAGTTTTGATTTTGAAACTGTAGAGTTGGAGTGTACTTCAGCATTGCTAGAGGAGGGTTTTGATGATTTTCCTCCCATATCCAAAAGCAACTACAGCAACAATGGTGATGTCAGAATGAAGTTACTTAATGTTGTTGGTTTTTATTTTTGTCATTATTAAATACCAAAAACTTATTGAAATGCTTTCAAATATGGAATCATACAAAAATATTCCTCCAATGATAATAATGTTATTTTTTAAAATTTATACCTTTTTTAGGCTTCATGCTGTTCTACACTAGCAAAGCCCTTCGATCAAATGACTATTACCAACAATAAGACTTACAAATCATAGGAAATGTTACAATTAATAGAAGATAAGGTAACATAATAATTTATGTAAATTTATATGTTAATAAATAAAATAATAAATATATATGATTCATATAGGTTCTTAGAAAAATAAACAGATTGGATGTCAGTTTTATGAATACACCCTAAATTTCATTTCTGGAACAATCTTGAGTTGATTTATTTCTGAAGAATTTCAATAAAAAAATGATCAAAATATGCTTACTCATTCTAATTTTTTAATATTCCATATAATTTTATTGGTACTTTGGAATATTGGACCTCAAACATTTATTAGCATCTTGTTAATATAATTATTTATTGGTTGAAAGTTTTAGAACGAGACTTTTTTTTTTTTTTTTTTTCTGTTGATTATATGATTTTAAAGGTCAAATCATTTTTCTTTATGATGAGTTTTGAATTTATATCAAAATAAATTATATCTAAATCAATTTAAAAACAAGAGACAATAACATTATTTGATGATGTAATTGCAAAGAATTTGAAAATAAATTCACTTAAATCATCAATATGTATTTTAAATCCCTATTTTTCTTCACTTTTCTTCGTAAATTAGGGTTTTACTTAATTTGAAACAAACCAATTCATGTATCAGAATAATTTTTTTAAAGAACTGGCATAACATCAAATTGGCTTTTTTGGATAAGCCTCAATGTTTCTTTAAAAATTATTAATTTTTTTCATAACTAGTATGAGGATTGAAATATATTTTCAGACACTCTGGAGCAAAACACATGGAAGAACCCGATAAGGAAATGTCATACAGTAAAATGTACACAAACATCAAATAGTAAGTATATAAAAATAGAAATAAATTACAAATTACAAAAAAATAAAAAAATACAAAAAATATATATACTCATATAAAAAATATAAATTTTAAATTTATATACTCATTATATCTCCATAAATGAATTTATGTCAATTATGAAATCATCTTAAGAGTTTCAATTTTATTTAATTCATTAGTATTAATTATTATCACAATAATAATAAAAATGCTGAAACTCATATTACAGAAGAAACTATTTTGTTTCATAAATGGTATGTTTTTAATTATTTTAAAATTAAGTAAAAAATCATAATAGAAATGATCATGAGGTCAAGTTTGGAGATAGACGGTTTCGATCCCCTCGTGTGGCCCACCCACTTGATTCTGCCTCACAAGCCCCTTTAAATGCTCACATATCTTTCTGTCGATCGAAATTGCTGCTTGGCCTCCACACCTCCATTTTTGTTCCAAGGGAAAATAAATTCACCACTTGAGGAGCAGCGATCTGTGGCTTTCTTTTCGCCTCAATCTCTGCTTCACGTGTAGTTCAGAAGAGTTGTTCATGTGCGGTGTTTCCTCTCTTGGTGGATGTTTAGCACAGCCATGGTTACGTTAAGCGTGCGGGGAGGTTTTAAGCTGATTTTACTGCCTCGTTAAATTCTTGCATTTTACGGACGAGGTTAGGTCCGTCGAATAGTATCACTGATGACTGCGTCTGTATTCTCTCCCGGTGACAATCTCATCTTCTCTCATCTTTCTCTTCCTTTCGTTAGCGGGTATTTACTGCGGATCTGACAGCAGTGCACAATGCGGCGATGACGGGTACTATGACACTTTGACAACAGATCACATACGATTTTCAGACATATTCATTGCTTAATAACAGTCCTTGCGGTTTACTAACATGGTTAGCGTGTGAGAGAAATGTGGACACGGAGATGACTGGAAAATGTTTCTCCCATTATCCGTGACGGTCTGCTTTCTTATGAAGTATGCATTAGTTATATGGATGTTGGAAGAATATCAATTGCATTCATGTTCACATAGCACAGAGCAGAAGCGGATAGAGCGCTGGATAACCCATATTTCGGAAGAAATATCCCCGACAGCAAAAGAGGAAGCAACTCACCTGGCTATTCTCAGAAAATTCTTTTCGGGTCACGGAACTCAGTGCCTGCTAATTAAAATTCAAACCCACACCACATGATTGAACAGAAATGCTCAAATATAACAGTCAATTACAAATAATCTTCGGATCAGACAGCAGCATGCTGAACTCACAACAAATCAATAGCTACTTGGTATGCTGGGTGAAATCTATACAATGATTTGGTTCTAAATGCTGAATGAAAGACCCTAGACGCTGAAACAGAATGTCCTGTTCGTAGCGTGCTACGTAATGATAACGAGAGGAGAGGTCACAATTAGGCCTCTTCCGGATCATCCTCATACTCTCCCTCCTCCTCAGCGCTCGCGTCCTGGTACTGCTGATACTCCGACACCAAATCGTTCATGTTGCTCTCCGCCTCCGTGAACTCCATCTCGTCCATCCCCTCCCCCGTGTACCAATGCAAAAACGCCTTCCTCCTGAACATCGCCGTGAACTGCTCGCTCACTCGCCTGAACATCTCCTGGATCGACGTCGAGTTCCCGATGAACGTCGACGACATCTTCAGTCCGGTAGGTGGAATGTCGCACACCGACGACTTAACATTGTTGGGAATCCACTCCACGAAGTATGACGAGTTCTTGTTTTGCACGTTGATCATCTGCTCGTCTACCTCCTTAGTCGACATCTTCCCCCGGAACATCGCGGACGCCGTCAGGTACCTCCCGTGCCGCGGATCCGCCGCGCACATCATGTTCTTTGCGTCCCACATTTGCTGCGTCAGCTCCGGAACCGTCAGCGACCTGTACTGCTGGGACCCCCTAGACGTCAGCGGTGCAAATCCCACCATGAAAAAATGCAGACGAGGAAATGGGATCAAGTTCACCGCCAACTTTCTCAGGTCAGAGTTGAGCTGTCCGGGGAAACGCAGGCAGCACGTAATGCCGCTCATCGTCGCAGAGATCAAGTGGTTCAAATCTCCAACTGCACAAAGCAGAGAGAGAGATTCACGGACAGCACTGAAACAATAGAAGGCATCCTGAGGACGCTCAAGTAAGGGTATCCCTCCAAGAGAATCTAAGAACAAAACAAATGCACTTAAGTGGAATAACGTCAGGCGAAGATAAGAGCTTACAGGAGGGAGTAATGAGCTTCAGTGTCCTAAAGCAAATGTCGTACAGAGCCTCGTTGTCCAGCACCATGCACTCATCAGCATTTTCTACTAACTGATGTACCGACAGGGTGGCATTGTATGGCTCAACCACGGTATCCGACACCTTAGGAGACGGGAACACTGAGAAGGTAAGCATCATCCGGTCGGGATACTCTTCTCTGATCTTAGAGATGAGGAGGGTTCCCATTCCAGAACCAGTTCCACCTCCTAAACTGTGGCACACCTGGAAACCTGAGGTTACAGAGAGAGAAGGTCAGCACTCGATTTTATGGACAATTTTGCTAGAACGTAGTCGTCATAGACGACAAGACCGGGGATCCACAGCACTGTCCCCCAAGGAGGCGGCGCATCGCTAAGACAAAACCATCAACCAGGCAGAGTACACAGAGCGCTCCACAAACCGACGAGATGTCAATGCATACCTTGCAGGCAGTCACAGCTTTCGGCCTCCTTGCGCACGACGTCCAGAACGGAGTCGATTAACTCAGCTCCCTCAGTGTAATGCCCTTTCGCCCAGTTGTTTCCAGCACCAGTCTGGCCAAACACAAAGTTATCGGGGCGGAAGATCTGTCCGTAAGGACCAGACCGCACGCTGTCCATAGTCCCAGGCTCCAAATCCATCAATACCGCTCGAGGCACGTAGCGACCACCGCTGGCCTCATTGTAATACACATTGATGCGCTCCAGCTGCAGATCAGACGTACCCTGATACGTCCCAGTGGGGTCGATACCATGCTCCTCGCACACTACCTCCCAGAACTTCGCTCCGATCTGGTTCCCACACTGCCCTCCCTGAATGTGCAGGATTTCCCTCATCTTCGCTAAGGATGATCTACAACGAGAACGAAGAAACAAAGACGGCAAACCGTCCCTCGAGCACTGAGACGCTGAACAAAAGGAGAGAAGAAGACGTCCCTGGGGGCACACTGAGAAGAGATATGCCAGAGAGATAGATAAAAGGAGGAGCCCGCCCTAGGGCTTTGGTTCCTGCCCACGAACACTTTCTGCCCATCGTTGGATCGAGCATCTTACGCTTCAACTTTCTCAGGCAGACAAGTAAATTCCAGCTCAAGAGCTGCCAGTCAAATTCCAATCGTAGGCAAGGTACAATTCCCACGCAAAGCGTCTGCGCCGTTGGATGGCGGGATCGACGGCACGAATGAGATTATAGCTGGCGTTGAATCACACTCGTTGCGTAGGCCTAGCATCGTTGGATTTCTCCAGATCCTACAACGTGGTAAAACTCTTGCTCTCAGTAATATTCCTCCCTGTAAGTCACTTTAGCCGACCGCCTTGCATGAGGTAAAAAACAAAAAGAATTGGACAGAAGAGTGAAAAAAGCCCATACTAATCGAAGCTCTAGCGTTTTGATTTATTTTTTAAATTCAAATTCGGGCGACGGGACAGTTTCCTAACCGTTCTGCGCCCATCTGAAAAGCTAAAGGAAACTCCGTCGAGGTTTGAAATTTGAAATTTAAACAGTGGATTCAAATTTTACGCCCCTACGGCTGGTCGTGGTTTGCAACAGTTCTTCGCCAGCCAATCAATACATTGGCAATGGATATATCTGTCCACTGTTTCTGAATCCAGTGCCGCCGCTTAAAAGTTCTTACCTCGGGGGTACTTTACACAAAACACATGCCTGCCCCCCCAGATACCTCGGCATATCCTTCTGCCTGGGCATATGTAGTCGACGCTCATTTGGAAAATAACAAGTTCCACTCATAGCACCTGCTCTTGGTTGGTCAGTTGGGGATCCCTTAATGTTGAATAATGTGGAATGACTTTTGGATCTGTCTACGAGTGCATTGATGGTAGCAATCTGGAAGAGTTCCACGGGCATCTCGACCAGCGTGTGCCTCCTCCTAATGTTGCAAATATGAAGACTAGAGGGATGGACATCGCTAACTTGTGTTATAGCCTCTGAGTTAGAGCGACATAGACGCGGCGTTGTGAAGTTCAGAAGTAGCGGTGCGCGAACAACCTGTTCCTCGAAGGCTCCACGTCTGGATTTTTCGTAGACTGCCCAAACACAATCAATTTAAAAGCTCGGTGATCACACCATACATTTCGGATTAGTGGGAATTTTGCAAAGCACAATAAGTTATGAGTCACTGAAAAAACCTATTTTGTCGAGAAGATTGGAATGGAAAGAGGCTCAAACAGATTTCCTAATGAAGTGAAGACAACTAAGTCCCACGGAAATTCTACATCACGGGGCTTGAATAATTAGATATGAATTGTGTAAATGAGCAGACAAACTTAGAACCCGAATGTAATGTAACAATTAATTCCTAATTAAGCCCCTCTACAATGGGAAGTAGTAATCAGCATGAGCTCTAACAGCTATTTTGAAGGATGGAGGATTGACAAACTTCCAGTGGTGCAATGAGCATCAAAGTCAATGTTCATGAAATAGAACAAAAATACACAACAAAATAGTGTGTATTATTCTTGATATGCGTGCGCTTATCCCCACATGTTTTCTGCTTTATGGTGTTTCTACTTTATTACTATTATTCTTATCATCGTCGTCATTTTGTTTGACTGGTCTCAACATTACTAAAATGTTAATAATCTTGTTTTTAATTACGACTTAAACTCTTACTCATTCACCCATTATTATTATTATTACCTTTACAACAAGATTTATCCAGAACCTTCATTTTCACTTTTTAAAACTATACGTACATACGTACATAATACCAACCTGGCCAAGCTATAAGTCGGCTCAGCTCACTACTTACCTCATGTTTTGAAATATCCATGGAAACTCATGTTTTTAGATCGATATAAATGCTTTTATTGTGTAACATTTTAATACTTACAAGTCCAATAACCTGGTTTTTCATTCACAGACTACAGATGAAAAACCAAGTTATGAGAATTGTAATTACATTGTTGAATTGCAGAATTATTATGCAATTTCTCAATTACAATAAAATTGAAATTAAATTGCACTTTGAAAAATAAAAAAATCAACATTAAGCAAAACAAGAGAAAGGTACTTATCTTACATTTTACATTTTCTTACATTTATTGAATCCAGGAGTAAGAAGTGATCATTTCATTATTTATTTACTTATATTAAAAATGATCTACATAAAAAACAAATGTTTCTTTTACAGTGTAAAGTATGAGAAAACATTACCTATAAAAAAGACACTTTTATTTCAAAACATGTTATTACATCTTTATTTATTTTAAAACAATCTCTCCTTCAAAATGTGGATAAGGAACCTGTTGATGATTTGAATCTAAAGTAAACGTAAAAAAACATCTGCTAAACAATACCTCTGCTGAAAAACTTTTCTCAACAACATGATTTAATACATACATACATACATACATGGACTACGTTCTCTACGTACTTTAGTAGTTCTCCTGAAAGGTAACTGAAGCAAAGCTTAGCTTCATAAATTGACATACTCATACGAATTCGAAGCTCCAGGATAAGTATACAGGTCCATGATACAAAACACGGAAAATGAATACCCGTACCCAATCCGAATGACAACACTAAGAACTGAAGACCACTTTGACACACATACTCATATCCAGATCCAGGCTGTGTTACGATACCCGGGTATACACCCGATCTGAGGCAGAGAGGGACGAGGCAAAACCGAAGGGACAAAACGTGGGACGCCCATGTGGGGAGTGGCAGTGAGGAGTGGTAATGAGGGGCTCGCCGCGCAGCTCACATGCGCGCTGGGGTGACTCTGCCGCGAGGAACGGTGTCTCTCTTTCTCTCTCTCACTTTCGCAATCTCGCTCTGGCAAGACGTTACTGGAGATTAGCGAGACAAGCGCAAAAGAGTCCACTCGTAGCGAGGACCATGCCGCAGCGGCGATGCATCCGGCATTCATTGCCCTGGTTGATTAGCAGGAATGGATAGCCCTCGTGGGGGGGGGGGTTCACCATCTCATTATTTTGGGGTGATTCACTTCTTTTACTGGGATCAAAAGCTTCCGACCGCATCATGGAGCATGATGTGATGTGTTTCTTTTGGATCGACTGATATCCACGGCCTCCGCACCCCACTTTGGCTCAAGCTAACATTCTACGTATTTTTTCACATGAATCATATGGAGCGGTCATCCTACCCGTTTCGTACAATGATTCGCGGTTGGGACCGTGGAATTACACGCTTTCCTAATTTCCAGCGCATCGACATATCCATTTAGAATGAAAGCATGGTGCAGAAGAGTGAGTGTTAAAATAGAGAATCGCTTTCTGGGGGTTGGGGAAAGGTGTGCATTTGCTCCCTGCTTGTCGTTCGAATGCTGCGTGGGTCCGCGAGGCTGCAACAGTCTAACCCGGTTTGATTACGGTTCGATACAAGGCTGCAGTGATTAAAGGTCTGGATAAGGCTAGCTCTCGAGAAGCTCCTGGATGAGGCTAGCTAGGATTTGAGGAATTCGGTCACTTGGCCGAGTGTGTAGTGGATTGCAATGTTTCGCAGTGAAACAGGGGGGAGAAGTCAGGTCGGTACCGTTTCGTCAGACCAGATGCATGTTACTGTGACAGGCACTTGACTGGATGTGAGTGAAACGTTTTGCAGGCCATGCGTACGAAATCCTGCTGACACAGATTTGTTTATGAAACATTCACCAAGCAAGGTCGGTAGTGGGAGCCCATATTGCGAATATCAAGCTGCAAAGGCAAAGTGCGTCATTGTTGGAGAAAAAAATGGAGTGAAAGTCCTTGGTTATGTGCGATTTTTGAAAATTGACAGATACCAGATAATTAGTGGACGAGGATTATGTTAGTGGCCAATTCACTCTTAGTTCTATGTCGTATGTACAAAGTCAGCTGAATTAACATACCGTGATCTAAGTGGTCACCCACAAAAAGTGCTGTTGCCTGTGCGATGCTACTTGAAAACCCATGTCAAGGAGAGTTGGAAAGTAATGAATGAAATTTTTGCTGGCTGTAGTAACCTGGTGAACCCTCACCGGCACAAGTAAATAAGGGAAGGATTTTGGAGTCACCAGTCAATGCTGAATTGGACTGAGCCAATGGCTGCCGACGGACATCCACGTTCTGCTAATGCATGTTCTGCTTCACGAGTCAGGAGTGGAAGCCAGCAGCGACAGACTGCAAATCATGAGTGTGTATGTGCTGAGATGATGCAAGCTTTCGAAAGGGCCGTGCCTCCCTGCCATGTCCTACCAGATAGTTTCCTCGGCTTAGGATTCGCTGAGGGGAAGCTTGACAAGGTGCCGTTTGTCAGGGACATCTGATGCCGTCCTCTACAGTGCAGGGCTGAACAAGAAATTCGTCAGTCAGCTCATTATGCTTACCTCAATCACTTGTGCATTTTCATGGAGATAGAAACATCAACAAGAAGAGAATGGAAGAACCCCAAACATTAACGGTCAGAAAGCACAGTGACGAAAGCAAGCTTCCTTTAAAGCTAAATCATGTTCACCACAAAGTTCTGTACTGGCACATGCTGAGAAGATCTGGTTTCTTCATGTGCTGTGACAGCAATATTTACAGTCGCGGAGAGGGGCACAAACCAAATGAAAGCTCTCCACCACCAGATCACGTACGCCATGTGAGTGAGTGGGAGCAACAGTGTCCCTGAAAGGATGTTGAAGCTTTGCAATGCTCAAAGACAGCACATAACCGCAAACATCTAGACTCAGAAGGAAGCTCCATAACAACGCCCGATCACGATTCTTGTAAGATTACCATGGGTGTCAAGTTCGAATCACACCTCCACTACAATCTACCCCACATACATTCCACCACCTACATTCGCAGCAGCAGCAATAATATGCCACAGAGATTACGATTAAGAGTCTTTGGGTGATACATTCACAGAATCCACAACGCATGTTATCAAAGTGATTATAAAACCAGGAGCAAGAATGGCAGCAAGACTAACATCATATAAATGGCTCGCAAACACATGGAAGCAGACTGTGGAAGTTCCGGAGAGCAGCTACCCACCCATCAATCTTTGTCAACCACGAGAAACCCATACATTTTCACGCTAGGAATACTACAAGTTATGTAAGCACCTAAAAGTGAAGTGGGTTCATAATCAGGTGATGTTTCCTTTGAGAAAAAGCACATTGTGAAGGCTATCACAAGGTCTCACAATGCAGGAATTCTTCACAGTAGTTGATAATGAGCCACGAATATAACTCACAAAGAGGGTACCAGACTCAGTCTGCATAAGTCAAGTTGGTCATAGAAGCAAGATCATTCATTGTGAAGGCAAATCCTGTACCTCACAATGAATGATAAGAATATAACAACAGTACAACATATAAGGCACAAGACTGCGTCTGCCTTAGCGTGCTTTCTATTTGACCGAGAATTCCGAATCATCACAATTTTGTTTTGAAGATGATTTGTTGCTGTTGTTAGCCAATTGCTTACACGAGAAAATGTTATATAATTTTGTAAAAAAGATAGTTCAGGTTATATAAGTATCTACTGCTTAAGTACTTTCTAACTTGGATATAAATAAATAAATAAACAAACATGAAATGAGTGTGTCTTTAATAAAAAGAGGTAATTGATTTTACTTGGCAAAAAGAACAACAAAGAAATTGATTTAGTGGATTGATGTTTTTACCTAAAATTTTACTACTTCTACCCAACATCATGTTGCACTCACCACATTGTTGTTGTGGTTTTGTGACTCATTACATTTCAACAACTTTACTTGACTGTTTTGGAAGAAAAATTTGCATTATCATGAGACCCCTAACCGATGAGTTGTAGTAAAGGTATATGTATCAAACCCTATTGCCATGTACAATCCCTACCATCTTAAATTCCATTTCCAACACAGACAAAGGCCCACTGTGTTGGGACATGGATCAAAATGAATTTGCTTTTGAACAAGTAATAAAACCACAATAATAGCAACAATGTGGTAGACACAATACAATGTTGGATGAAAATAGTAAGATTTGAGGTAGAAATATTAATTCTCTAAATTCTTAATACAAAAAATAATATCTTTTTGACCAAAAATATACATAGAATTTAAATGATATTTTATAAGATATACAAGTATAGATGTTTTAGAAGCAAAAGATAATTGAAAAGCAAAATTTGGATTTATAAACTAAATAAGTAGAAGTAAAATTACATTTAATTTTATTTTAAGATATTTATAAGTTGAAAACAAAAAAGGTTTTGTTCTTTACTTGTAAAATAGTACCATGCATAAATGTAGTTTTAAATTTATTTTATTTTGGAACTATAATGCATAAAAATATACAATTCTTTAATTTTTATATACTTTATAATAATTAGAGAAAATTTGAATAAAAATTTATTAATTTATTGGTCTCAAAATTCTTACTTATTTATACTTTTTTGCATGTTTCAACATAATTTATTTTAAATTAAATAAATCAATTTACTTGTATTATTTTAGAGTATTGAAAATAATATCAATGTTTATAAGATCTAAAATATTTTAAAGAAGTTTACATATAAAAGTTTAATTAAGAAATTTATTGAGGTTTAAAAGTACTCTTATTAAATTATGCATTCTTGCAAAAAAACTTAAATGCATAAGACACAAACTATACTCTTATAATATTCTTTGAAATATTTTGTCCTAATATGCATGCAAGATATTTTAAAGACCAAGTTTATATGCATATTTTAATCTTAAAAATTTCCAAATATTTTTTTAATGTATTTACATAAATTAATATATATTTATTATGACCAATTTTACCAAATTATTACTTATTATGTTCTAATATTTTTAATCTGATAGAATTCTTTTTTTATATGGATATAAAAATATAAAAAATATATATATATATATATATATATATATATATATATATATATATATATATATATATATATATATTTACACACACATATATACATATATAATTAATTGCAACAACATTAGAAATTTTTACATTATGTATAATCTTTTGTTTAAAAACAAATTACAGTAAGAAATAAAAGAATTTAGATTCAAAAGCATTAAAGGCTTTAGAGAAAATAATCATATTTTTTTTATATGTTTTATATTTAATAAATAAAAAATATTTTATAATTTTCAAATAATTTATTGATATAATTTGAAGACATCACTTGTAATGATTAGAATAATAAATTTCTAATTTTTATTGTTTGATAGTTTTATTCTGCTATCAATGAAACTGTAGTTATTTAATATCATATGGTTTAGATTAATAATTTTTTTATGACCATTATAAGTTTCAGATAAAACTATACATGATTTGATAGTAAATTAAAAATCCCAAACCAATTGCATTTTTAAAAGAACTGCAATAACAAAATTTAGAAATTTTGATAGAATATTGCATAATATTTTTAAGAATATTATATATTTATTTTTAAATTTATTTGTACAAGTCCAAACCATAATCAATAATTTTTTTTACGTTTTATATTGTTTTCTTATTATCTATATCAGCACTGCAAAATTAACAGTATCTTAACTTCAAATTAATACAACTGGAGAACTGAGTATCCACCCATGTATCATAGAAATCTTTAGTTTTAAATTGCAGATCCATTTTATTTTTCTTTTTCTTTTTTTAATTTAAAAAAGTAGGAATAAAAAAATTAAATTCATAATCTGAAATGATTTTTATTCACAAAAAAAATGTTGTTTACTACTGATTTCTTGTTGTCGGAAATTTTAGGATTTCATAGTTTGATATTTTATTTTTAGACTTTTTTTAACTGTATGAAAATTCAAAAGTCAAGTATGAATTAAAATTAAGATTAAAAGAGATTTCTTTAAAATCTAACAATGTAAATTTTACTTTGATTCTATTTTAGAACAAACTTTTGATTTTTTTGATCTAAAAAAAAGGTTCTTCAATTTTCATCTAATCTTTTTCATACAATCAAATGTTGTTGAAATTATTTTTTTATATGTATGTATATAAATTTTAAAAATAAATCATATATATTTTAATCTTTGTGTTAGTAACTTATGTCTAAATACCAGTAAGACGGCAAAGTATATGGGCTTTACTACAACTTTTTTTTTTTTTTTTTTTTTTTTTTTTTTCTATCTTTAGTTTCATTCAAAGAAAATCAAATTTTTTAATACTGAAATAAATAGGTGTTTAAAATAAGAGATTTAGCTTAAAATTACAAGTTCTTAGTATATTTAAAATATTAGATTTAATTTATATATATATATATATATATATATATATATATATATACAAATATCTGCATATACAAAAAAAAAGGTTAGAATTTTTTTTATAATAACTTATTTAATTAATAAATAATAAAAATAAAATTACATTACATAATTTTTTTAAAAAAGAAGAATTATGCTAATGCACAAATGTCCATACATTGGTATCCTTCATAAACGTTTTAAAATATTAATAAAAATAGAAAATTATAAAAAATAAGTAAAAAATAACAATTTTTTAAAATTTTGATATTACATTAGTAAAATAAACTTGGTTATATCACAAGTATAGGATCTTTATATTCTTCATAAATTTTAATGAAAATAATACCAAAAATATAAATACTATTATTTACAAGATAAAGAGTAAATTATAGAAAATAATAATAATAAAATAATTGCTTATGTTTTTATTTATAAAAAATGATTTTCTAATCAAGAAAAAATAAGTAAAAAAATTTAAGTATTTATCTATTTTTTACTATAATTTATTATATAAACCATTAATTATAGATTTTTTAATATCTTATATTTTTAGGCAATTTAAAACTTTAATCTTAATTTTTTTTCATAACGTTAATAAATTTAAGCTTTTAAAAATGATATTTATATTATACATTAGTTTTATTTATAAATTCAATTAAATTATGAATAATTATATTTAAAGCTAATTTATACTTTATGTAATATATATGTATAAAAATAAATAAATATTTATTAATAAAAATAAAAACATAAAAATTATATTATAGAAATTATTTATTATAATAAAAAATTAATATTTTATTTTATT